TGATTGACTGTAATTTCAAAGTTTTTCTTTTCCATGTGTTCGTTAAAATTTATCATATATTTATGATTTTCTTCTATAATCTTTTCCAAATTATTCTTTTCTTCGTCGTTGTTATAAGATTTAATTTTTTCTTTAGTTTGATCACCCGTACAGCCGGGAGTATATATATTTTCTCCTACTGAGTAAACCTCATCATTATTTCTTTCTTGAAGATTATTTATAATTTGTTTTATTTGTAATTTCTCATTTTGGGTAAGTTTAAATTCTTGTATGCAGTCTAATCCAAGTAAAAAGTCATAATCAAAGTTTTCGTCCTCTATAATGAATACATTCATATGTTTTTCAATGTCAAATATTTTTATTTTCAAATTTGCCATTCCTATAGCTTTTTTTACACCATTAATCGTTTTTAAGTTTGTATTATTCTTATTACTCATGTTATCCTTGTAAGACAGTAGTCTCGAATTTACAATTGACACATTTGATCCTGAGTCATAAACTCCCAAAATTTCCAAGGTGTCATTTAATAATAGTTTTATTTTGATTAATGGTGGTATCTTTAGAGTTTTGGATCCATGTCATTTAATTCCGTTTCTAATTCAGAATTGTTTACACTCTTTATCTGTACTCTTTTTTGTCTTTCATTATTTTTATTTTTGTACCAGCATAAGGATTCTGGGTGGTATCGATTAAATTTATTTTCTGTCTCACAGATTTTACATGGTTTCATGTTAGCATTTTTTTCTTTGTTCTGATTTTCATAATCTATCTTTTTTTCTATATACTTTTTATTTACTAAATGTTCTAATCCTCTTATATTATGGAATAAATCTTCTATATTTTTTAATTCATCTCTATTAATTTTATCGGCGATGTAATTTGGTAACCCTACTGTGATTAAATCCATTATTGTGAGTATGTCCATGGATTTGTTCAGCTCTAATAACAACTTTTCTTTTTTCACGGCATATTCTATTAATGAACCCTGTCGATATTTATATAACATTGCGTATCTAACCGAAGACCATCCTCTTTCCATATAGGTTTCACACAAACTTTCCTTCCATATTAACCATTCAGAATTTATTGTATGTTTTATGAGCATGGAGCTATACCAATCCAAAGATGAGCCTTCGAGAAATAATCTAAGTACTTCAATTTTTTTTGAATCTTCCTCTATTCCTAACCTCGTACATTCAGATTCAAAAACAGTTACCCATTGAGATATATTAGTGATTTTTGAATTAAATTTTTGTATTACGAATTTCTCTGACAATTGTTTCATATTACATGTTTTTGGTGTATCGTTTTTTAATTCTGAAAGCTTTTCTATGATCCTAGTTAATACTGTTTCAGAAATTCCTGCAGATGATGTCTCCTGCTGTTCTTCCTGCAATCTTTCTTCTAAAAAATATCCTTTAAACTGGATGTTTCCGTCTTCATCTGTATAAACTTTACTTATTTCTGGTGTTTTTGTAATCCATACCTGTCTTTTTTGATGTCTTTTCTGTAGTGTATTTTTTATCATTTGAAAAGCTTTAGTTTTTACAATTTCTTCATGTAGTCTTATAAGAGATTGAATGATACAATGACTAGCGGTAATGTAACATATTTTTCTCCACCAAGTTTTGTATATTAAAAGTTTAAAGGTTATTAGAAACTTATGTATTTTTTCGAGTATTTGCCATTCACTAGCTGTGATTTGAAAATCATTCAATTCGGTGACAGAACTGCACAATATGTTAATGCCCGCTCTCACTTTTAAACCAAATCCAATCATATCATGTGTGGAATTCCATCTCGTCAAGAATGGGATTCAGATTTGATGGCACGCCAGCTGCTTCACAAGCAGACTGAAACTTCTTCTTCACTATTTCACTTCTTTTTATTTTGCTGGAAATACTGCGTTACTTTGTTACAGATGTACGCGAGTTAGCAATATTTGGTGCATATTCTTCATCTTCCTCAGTTTCGTCTGCATAGTCTTCATACTGCTGATCTTGCGCGTTAGTGTCAGTCTCACAGTGTAATGCTTAGGTCTTTAATAAATCTTGTACACCAAGGTTTAAAATGTGAGCAAAGCACCGGAAATGTTGATTGTCTGAATCAAAGTATGGTGGCAGCTGTTTGCCTAGTTCATACATAAATTTAGTATTTGCAGTTGCGTTGTCGACCGTGATACTTTGTATTTTATCAATTATGTCATATTCCAATAAACATTCGTGGAAAATCGTTGCAATATCTTGCCCAGTATGTCGACCGTGTGATGGTATAAAATCAAGAACTACAGATCGATACTTCCATTCGTTGTCTATATAATGCATAGTAACTCCGTGGTAACTCCTACCAGCAATTGACGTCCACCCATCAATGGTAAACGACATTTTAGATGATAACTGTTGAAGTCGTTCCTTGAGATTCAATTGGAGCTCTTCAAATCGCTCTTTGACTTTCCTTCTAAGTGTGGACCTTGTCACTACTGTTTTCCGACTTAAATAAAACAATAAATCTTGTGTTATTATTTAAAACATACTAGGTTTGAGCGTTTAGGAGGAGGAGGTTTGTTGTTGTTAAATCTAAAGTTGTACTGTAATTTACCAAAATAAAGTACTTAGTTGTTACAGGCCGATTATGAAAACAAATGAAAATATGGGTGCTTTATAAAAAATATTTAACACGATAATTACTTACTTAATATGTGTGATGTAATTGTGAAATAAGTAAATTTATTCCTACCTGTCCACTTCTTCCAGCAGTTACGAAAAAGCTTGCGATATCTCCGCTTAATTTTGGTTTAACAGGAAGAAATATTTGTGATTCCTTTTTGTGGAAAGATATTAGATGTTTCCTTAAGCCTGAAGTGTTATTATACACCGAACTGTTATTTCTAACTACTCCGTGAAGTCCTAGCTGCAAGACGCAAGAGTCTTGCGGGATTAGTCTTGTTCTTGCTCAAGTCTTGCATGGTCAGTCTTGGTCTTGGTCTTGCTAAAAATACGCGGTCTTGTTCTTGGTCTTAGTCTTGCAAAAATGCAAGACCAAGACCAAGACTGAATTTGGGCAACACTACTCCTATTGCTATAGAAATTTTGGGGTTCTGATGAAAAAATTGCATTCATAAAGCCTTGAAATGTAACAGTAACAGACGGTCAGTACCATCGTAAATAACTCTGCGTTTGATTACAATCGTTACATCTATGTTGGCTATCAAAAATTAAGTACTGATAGGGGACTGTGCTGCAGTGTTACCAACCCTACTGTTTTAACAGTAAAACTCGACCACGGCAAAGCGAAAGGGAGGGTTATTTGTCTGGTATTTATGTATGTTTGTATGTATTTAAGAATGTTCATCTGTTCCCTTATAACTTCTCATCATAACTGGACAAATGAGGTATATTTAGAAGCGTCTTAGTTGTCCGTGGACAAGAGGCTATATGACGTTACATTAAGTTGGCAACAGCGCCCTCTAGAAAGCGTAAAGTAAGAAACTAAAAAATGTATTATTCAATCATTCCGTGTAGTGTATCAAATGAAAGGGCTTAATATTGATAGATTTTGCATGCGATTTTGCTTAAATACTCCCGAAAATTAATTAAATAAAAAAAGTAGTTCAAAAACTACAACCTGATTACAGCTACGCTTTGAAAATTTGAAACGAGAAATTAGTTTTATAGCGTTAATTATATTATAATAGCGATGGCCAAAGGACAGCGTAGTCGTATGCCAAAACAGTTTGTTATGATCAGGGGATTAAGAGGGGATTACACTATGCAAATATAATCCTTAATAACCGATTGATACTCATTTGAAGCCACAGAAAGGCACATGAAAGAATTCAATGAAACTACGTATGATTTTAAAATGAAAACGAATCAAAAATTAAGGCTATTAAAGATGAATGTGGAAAATATATATATTTTTTTATTTTTATTTTGTTTCATTTTTATTTTACATAACAATATATACAAGTCCTGAGAACTAATAAAACAATGCAACTGTTTTAATTATGTGAGTACAGTATGAAATGTGTCTTTTTTACTTAATCTACTGTTTTTTCCTGCTTTTTATTGGTGAGCTGTCGTTTTCTAGTGCTTGTGGTTGGCAGCACTGCTGCGCTGTCCGCAACGGTAATGAAATGACATAAAACATTTTATTTGTTTCATTAAAAATAAATACAGACTTCTCTTCAGGCGCATACCAAAATCACTAACTTTCGACAGGTTTTGTAATAAGAAATTAAGGTCCAAGAAACTGTAATGAAAAATGAGAAATTTGCAACATATTTCTTGTATCTTTAAAAATTTTAATTTTTACATTTCTTGATTTAATTATACTTTTGTTTTTTAAAGAAAAATTGGTGAGTTACTTCGTAACCGAGGTCTTTATACAACACTTCTACATAATCGTAATATAATTAAAATAAGTTTCTGACGCGCTTCCCATTCTCTGTCGCATCTTTTTCATTGCGGGCGCAATGAGACAGACAAGTATAGCTATTTGAAGTTACTCCCCCTTTTCATGCAAATTGTAAATTTTGTTTAACTTGTGATTTGTTTATTATAACGGTTTTATTATAACATCACTGGCTCCCTACATTTGTTAGCCGTTCGAGAGTTTGTCTTATTATCTTTCTGTAGTCTGGATGATACAATGTAAAGAATAGCTCTGAACGTAATTTCTAAGTTTATTCTCGTAAGAGTGTATTGTAGTACATATGTGTGAATGTACTAGATGTCCCGGTGTACTTTGTTTAACTTCTTACCATTTAAACCTTCCGTGGACTACGATAAACATTACAAAAAACAAAATCAGCTAAATCCGCCCAGCCGTTTTTAGCGAGACAAACGAACAGCAATTGATTTTTATATATACATAGAGACTTTTTTATACAATTTCTTACCGGATAGGGGGGTATAATTGCACCTCCTTGCGCTGCCATTTCCATGATCATATTATCTTTACCATTATGGATACAATAGATTTTATACTGTTGTTTCCAGAGTTCTCCACCGCCGTTTAATCCTACGGGCCGAACGAACGACGACGACGCCATCGTGTCTATAATGGAAGCAGCCGAGGAGTTCATCTACATATCAGTGATGGACTACGCTCCGGCTCTTGAGTTCGCACCCAAGTTGAAGTAAGCATTTTCATAGTAAAACCAGAGAGCGCGTTACGCATACGCACCGAAAATGGTTTGTGTGTGAACGCGCCCGTGCATATCTGTCGTCGCACGCGCACATTAAAATTACAGATGTCAAAAGTGCTCAAGGTACGATTGGCATACTCTGCATTTCTGATGATTGAATAACCTATAAACGCCAGCCCTACATGTTTAGGCTATTATCGTTCGCACAGGGTACGAGACGGCGTACGTTTTTAAATGAATGAAAAATTCTTTATTGTACACCAATGGACAAAAACAAATATGTGGATACAATAAATGTGAATGCACAATTGGCGGCCTTATTACTAAAAAGTAATTTCTTCCAGGCAACCTTGTGAACTGAACAAAAACTATATCTAAATTAGATTAGGGTAGCTTATGGTGCCTCAAACTTTATCTTGATATCATATCTCTACATATATTTAATTAAATGAAATACATACACAAAATAATAAGTACATAAATACTATAGATTCTATAATACATATATTTATATATAACATATATATAAGCCCTTAGTTAGATGACAGATAAGAATCAGACGGGATTTTTTTGGTTCACGATCTGTTAATTTGAATCTGAAATTTTCATTGTCTCATTAATATAAATGACAGAATAAAGAATGGAAATGATTAGAAAATTCCAACAATGAATACTGATACGATAAGTAAGGCCGCGTTTGTATCAGTAGAATTATTTTGCACCGACACGATACAGAGACAGCGCGTCTGACTCTTGGATGAAGCCATGTGATCTCGATGTTTAGAAGAGGCAAAAAGAATGTTGTGGGCTAGTAATAGGTTTGAAATTTGATATAAATAAAAAGTAGACCACTAGCAAAGTTAAATGAATGAGGAAGTATAAAAAAAAAATTAGTTCGTGAAATCAAACTACATAGATGTTTCTACGATATTTTCTTGATTTCTCCATGACAACCCTTCCGGCTTTCTTTCATGTATAAAAGTAAATTAATTTTCAAAACTCGATAAACAAGTCATATTCTATTTGTACTTTTTCGTATTTGTATTGATATCAAGTTTCGAACTTTCCAAATTTCAGTTTCTTAATATGTAAGTTAAAAGGAACGAAAATGACTGTCTTTGGTCCATTTGTTGTTCCCTGCAAAAATCAACTTTTGGTAGACACCATCTAGTGAGGTGCTTTTAGTGCTATCTTTTTTTTCTTAAAATACTTCCTCATTGAATTCTTAGTAGATAGGAAATTACACAACTTAGCTCCTAGCTACCGAGCGAAAGTATTCGCGCTCGTCTAAATGCGGCCTTAGAATATTTTACTATGAAACTTATCTATTGTACTTAATTTTGAAGAATATTACATCGACATCCCTAGCAGATTTTGTCATATTGTGCAGCAGATTTTGACTATAATAAAAAATGACTTTGATTTTAGATTCTGGCCAAAAATAGATGACGCAATACGTCGTGCAGCTCTCGAGCACAGAGTGAAAGTGAAGATGTTGATCAGCTGGTGGAAACATTCTCACCCATCCGAGGTCTACTTCCTGCGGTCCCTGATAGCACTCACGAAGTCTTACCCGCGCGTCGATATACAAATTGTGAGTATCTTACTTTGCTGCGAGGATATTATTCAATAGATGACATAGCGTTCTAATTGGATGTATTTTTTTGTGATTGAGAATAATTTTTAAACTTAGTATCTCATTTCAGTCAAATAAGCAAGACAAAACGTGTTTGTTACGTCATTTCATATTAGATGTAGTGTATAATGATCCAATGAACATGTTTTTTTTTTACACTTGAGCATAGTAGGTAATTAGGTATTGTTAAATTCTTAATATATCTAACGGTTGCTTTAGTTTAGAAGAGTATGGTCATATTTTTAACCAAAAACATGAAATTAGAACATTATTGACGCTGAAAAATACAGACACTGTGTCATTTCACCTCATCCTAGTATTTTATGTATTATCAAGTTTATTAAACTACTTTTTTGGTGGTCTACCATAAAACTAAGTCAATTTCTTGTTTTTGAACTGAAAAGTATAACTTCTTACAAAAATTATCCTTCGAGCTTTTCTCATTTCTTGGAAATTTAACTTTCGAATTGTTGTAATTAAGATCCTGCCAGCATTTCGATATTTTTACCACGTGTTTTGGTCTTCGTAATTTTGTTACACATAAACACCCAGTTGTACAAACGTCCAATAATGTTTAATGATAACATTTTGCTCTAATGAACTATGAACATTACAAATTTGATAAATCGTTTTAAACTAATGACAATTTCAATAGACATTTGTGCAACTGGAGGTATATCACCGAAATATTTTTTGTATATGGTGGTTTTAGTAAGGTATAGTACAATGGAGCTCGCTTTCTGGTTACTATGACAAATATAAATATACTAGGATCTGTAGTTCCTAGTTTGCTGGATTTACCGACACGTCTGCCACGCCCACTTGACTATCTTGATATATTTTGAAATAAATCTTATAGTAGTAGTAGAGCTGATCAATCAAACATGGTTGATGCAAATTGAGCGCTATGCGTACCAGTAAAAAATCTTACTAATTACGGTGTATAATACGCGGTAATAAAAACGCGCGGTGAAATATCGCAGCGTGGACAAGCCCTTATACTACTTTTACTTACTTTTTTTTATATCAGAAACGCTTCGTGGTACCTTCTACGCCCGATCAGGAGAAGATTCCGTATGCCCGCGTTAATCACAACAAATACATGGTGACCGATAAAACTGCATACATTGGGACTTCCAATTGGTCAGGCGATTACTTCGTAGACACAGCCGGCGTAGCGTTCGTATTCCAAGACGAATCCCATGGAATAATCCAGAATGTCACACAGGATATAAGGAGGGAGCTTCAAGATGTGTTCGAACGAGATTGGACTTCCCCTTATGCTGTTCCGTTAAGGTTATAGCATCTTATTGCGTTGAATTAGAGTTCGGTTTGCGTTACAAGTTTGGACACAAACTATAGTCGAATAAACTTGCTCAATATGAAGTTTGATGTCAACTGCATTTAAGGGTTGGTGCACAACTGACTGATTTATCTCGTCTCATCGATCGCGAGAATTGCTACTTGACAATAAATTATGAAATTTGTTGGAAATGGTAACTTTATGTAAACAACAAATATGTAGTATTTTTTTGTTTTAAAATAATTTAACTTTTGCAAAATTAACTTGCGATTTATCATTTGTACTTTTGACGTCACAGTTTAATAAACTATATGACTTGAAATGTCAGGTGACTGATTGTTTTCGCGGGAATATTTAAATTAATGAATAAAAATATGTTTTTCTGCGTTTAATAACACTATTTGGAGATAAATCTAATGGTGGTTTAATATGTTCTTTATATTGAATTTTAAAATGCTTTTAGCATTAAAAACAAGTAGCCAATTGACAAATCAGATGACATTAAACCTTGCACGCTCAACTGATGATCCGTCGCGTACTTGCGCAATTTCCATGAGACGTTCGACGGATTTTCAATCTGATTTACATTGACTCTAATTTTTATTTAGATATTTATGCGACTTAATATTATATAAGATAACTTTAAGATATTATGTATTGGAAAATGTTTGGCTGTGTTAAAATATTAATTTTGGCGATATAACTAATTAACATGTGCCAATGATATTTTAATTATAAGATTATTTAAACAGTTGCACGCTATTCGACTATAGATTTGTAAGTATTTTCATTTTTATTACTAACGTTATACGGTTGAATCTTATTTAGCAAAGCTGTTGAACATCTTTCTTCCAATGATTGGAATTGCATTGATTATTTATTAATTTTAAAGCATGTAATTTGAAATGTTGAGCATAGATTGCGTATAAACTTGGTCCTTTTATATGAATAGGTAACATTTTTAAACTTCACGAAACTTGTACAGAATATATAAAGTAAAATATAAATAATGCTAAATTTAATCTACTGTAAAAGTATTAATAGAGTTAATTATCTGTATTATTATTATGCCTGTGTATGGTAACGATGCTAAAGCTATGATTATCTTTTTGCCTGTGAATTTTTTAACGTTAATAATTCGAATATTTAATTGAACTGACTGCATCATTGATCATATACCTAAAACAAGTAGATATGTGTAAAAATACATATGCATCTGTTGAAATTCAAATTAAGACGGCAACGTAACCAGTGGTAACGCTGGAACGTGGATTTGGTCGCGTCTCGTAAATAACACCGCTAGTGTCTCATTTACACTGGTCGGTGCGGGTGATTTTGATTTATTTACCAATGAAGTCCACCTTTTTACATTTTATACATAGTTTTGACGTAGGAAGCCCCCACTCCTCAACTTTAGTGCCTATCATAGCAATTTATTGTTAAATTGATGCAGAAAAATTACTTATCTAAATGATTTTCTATCATCTGACCGACGGACTAAATAGAATTTATTTTTTTACCAAGGAACCATTTCCATTACAAAAACCATCATAAAACAAAATGACTGGCAAACTTACCATACATAAGCATAATTAATTGCCATATGTCTCGTATATGATCCTGTGTGCCTTCGATTTTGTGTGATAAGAGTGCTTATATCTTGTGAAAATTCTAAATTTGATGAGTTTTTTTATATCTTTACGCGTTTGATGCGTATCATAATGTAAATAGTACTGTTTCTTATGTTGTGATTACGTGGAATTTTCCTATAAAAAATGTATAACTTACGTCTTTCTAGTTAGGATTATTCTAAGATTGTAAAAGCAAACTATATTCCAGTATAGCAATAAATTTGTGGATTTACTGAATAATATATAGAATAGTCATATCTTGTATAATATTTTTTTCAGCAAATTAGAAATTGGTTAATTAAAGTATAAAAACGGTACCTTCTTCCTTGAATTTCTAATGTCAGAGGTCGACAAACTATTGTTTTCTTTGGAATAGTGTACAAGTTAAAAACTCAAACATTATGAGACTAAGTTGAAAAAAGATAATATAGTATTTTCAATAATATATTTCTTTGACCCAGTGCCTAAAGGTCTCATTAATACTTTTTTGTTTAGTTTTAAAGTGCGGCTAATCAAAGTTACCGATCCCTGCATGTTGCTGTCTTGCGTTCCCACATGGGAAGTTTTTTTTGTCGAGTTCTTTATATAAGATGTAATATTAATATGTACCAGGACTTCGTGGTTTAGTTCAGTGGAATATACTGAACAACTTTCACTATGGGATTTTGGAATGATGGAATTCACGAAAAATTAATCAGCTGTTTCATACTGTTGGCGAATGTAGGTATTGAAATTTTGTATGACAGCTCATTATTTTTTCCTGGAGCCAGTTGCTCCCATAGTTAAAGTTGTTCAGTATATTTAATTTATCCACCCTACGAAATATTGGCACATAATAATATTACACCTTATGTAGGTTTATATACATACCTATTACTTGTTGTACCTGTCTGTCATCAACACACAGGTTATATAAATCTGTCAAATGTCCCCCCCACATTTGATTTTTAACCTGAAATGCAGTCGTGTGTACAATGGAACTAATAAAATGTAAATAATTTGTTTGGTGTATAAGCTCCGGTTTCCGAATCTACTGTTTTGTTATTTCTCACTGCATACTCCTTATGGAAAATAGCAGTTGAATTTTAGCGTACTAGAATTAATTTTCTACTGTTAAAATGTACGAATAAGATGGATAATAAAACAACGTAGCTATTTAATTTGTAAATAAACACTTACGCATTCATACTTGTTTTTGATTTATGAAAAAAAAAACATCTTTGACCTACTTCATTTTGGTTCAATGAGGAAGTCTTTAAAAAAATTGTGCCCGAAATCAAACTAGAGATCACTATGGTACTTTCTTGATTTCTCCATGACAACCCTTCCGGTTTTCTTTCATGTATAAAAATAAATTAATTTTCAAAACTCAATGAGGAAGTATTTAAAAAAAACGAAAGCACTAAAAAAGCACCTCCACTAGATGGCGACCCTAGCAAAAATTGATTTTTGCAGGAAACGTATGGACCAAAGACGGCCATTTCCGTCCCTTGCAACTAACATATTAAAAAACTGAAATTTGAGAAGTTCGTAACTTAGATATCAATACAAATACGAAAAAGTACAATTGGAATATGAGTTGTTTATTGAGTGTTGAAAACTAATTTACTTTTAAACATGAAAGAAAACCGGAAGGGTTGTCATGGAGAATTCAAGAACGTACCGTAGCGACATCTAGTTGGATTTCGGGAACTAGTGTTTTTTTTAAATACTTCCTCATAAACAACTCTTGTTCTATTTGTACTTTTTCGTATTTCTATTAATATCTAAGTTTCGAACTTCGCAAATTTCATTTTTTTAATATGTTAGTTAAAGCGGAAATGAATCTTTGGTTCATTCGTTTCCTACAAAAATCAACTTGGCACGAGTCGACATCTAGTGGTGGTGCTTTTATAGTGTTTTCTTTTTTTTTAACACTTCCTCATTGGGATCAGCTTTTCCGAGTATTCTGCTTTCTCTGTGCCGTTTATGGGTATATACTATATCTGTATGTATAGTGTAAATCCATATATAAGTTCTTCTTCTTGTCATAATTGCTTCCAATCTCTAGCATTTTACTTGACACGTAATATAGTAAAACACGGTTTTAAAAAATGGAAATATTTATTTGTCATATTATTAAACTAATACACATTTTCTATACATCACTTTGTATTTAGATTGTTAAGAAGTCAAATAAATATATATAAAGAGCAAAAGACGACAAAATCAATTTGCCATATTCTTTACGCAGTGACGTCTCTTTTTTTCTCTCTTCCTTGTTGAATGTAATGGCTGCACTAATATAATAGATATTGAATTAATTATAACGCAGATCATATATGAATTAGAATCCTCTTCTTGTAATGTAGTAAAAAATCAGTTATATGGTCCCATTAGTCAATTGACTGACATTGCAATCAAAACTAATTTTAATTAGTTTTTGAAAACCGCTGTTTATCAGAACAGTATTTTATAAACTAGGTCTCTCGACAGAGGAGCACAATTCCCTAGCTAATTCAAAGCGATCGCATTTAAGTAAGAACGTGAACTGAGTTCAACTGACAAGTTATCGATATAAGTTATAAGTGGGTTTCACGATTGCTATTAATGTAAGACTGCATGCCCTGACCTTGAAGTGGCGATTATACTTACAATGTATACTGACCATACTGATTTGATGTTCATTTGCATAATTCAAATTAGTTGACAACAGGACACCAATTTATCACAAAATGGCAAATTTCCACAGTCGATTTTGAACTTCATTTTCAATACATTAAGGTATAAAATCAAATTGAGAAATTTGATATTTTAACTTTACGTTTTATTGACTGGTTTAGTGGTTTTAATTTAAATAAATATATAACAACATCGGATACATTGCTCAGATTCCAAGATGAGTAATCCCCCGTATTATGGAGTATCTGAGACAACGAAGGTACGACAACACCCAGACCCGAGACAATGAAAACATTGACCCAACCGAAAATCGAACCTACGGCTACGGAGGTAGTCATACGGAGTTTATAATAAGTGTAGCCATTATATTCATACCTTACATAACTTAAAAATATAGAAAACTAATAGCTATATATTAAAATAACAGAGCAGCTTAACATATCGGAAATCATTAAAAATACCAGTAACATTAAAAACCTAAAACGTCTAAACTAAAGAAATAATTATTTATGTAATAATAAATTCTAAAACTAAAATTTTCCGTTAATTTAATTATATGTCGTAGCGCATGTTAATACGAATCTATATTCCATGTTGTTTCACTTACATCTCGAAAATACACAAACATTAGGTACATGAAAAAAATTCGGTATAAAGATAAAAACTTTTACCGTTGGTGGAAAAAATCTCGTCTCATCATTTACTATGCAGAACAAAAATGTGATAATTGACAAAATCAATTAATGGAAATGAAAATGCAATAAATCTTCTAACTTCTATTTGATTTTAATTACTCTGATTTCTAATTAGATGTACTAAACTGACAGTTCAATCAGGTACGTAGCTACCGTCATATCAATGATACGGGACCCTCATATGCGTAAGCAAAAATTCATAAAAACTTTCCAATATTATTTTATTTCAATAACTTCAAAAGTAAAAAAAAGCAATTCCATGTCTTGCCGGGTAAAGCGTGCGTTCAAAAGTTGGTTACACCTGATGTAGCAGTTATCGCGGGCTTCGGGATTTACTTCAATGGGAGAATCCCGCAATAATCGATGTATGTAAATACAATGATAAACCAAGAAGAGTAGTGTTTATTTATACGTTTTATTTAATAATGCATTACATTGTAATACGAAGAAAGACACGCTACGCCACTGAGTTCATTTCCCTTCTCATTGAGTTTCATATGGACTTCAAAAAGTGTTTTTTTTTGTCTTCATTAGGTAGTTTTATTTATCTTCCCAATTAAAATACTAACACTCGGATGTTCTCATATAGTCGAGAGAAATAATTACTTTAGAAAATAGCATGTTATCAAATAAGAACTGTTGTATTATAACTAATAATAATTATATTCTTACGATTAACTTGTTATTCAAATTCTTGTTTATTTGTAAAAATATGTGCTTAACTAAATACTTTTACTCAAGTAATTGCTTTTGAGTAAAAGTCGAGTGACTGCAGATAGAGGTGTTACAGTCCTGTCAAAGTTACAGTTTTGATAAAAAAAAAAAAAAATCTGTTCGAAATTAATAATTATAATTTTCTAACTCTATAGTTTTTAGTTACCCTTTTTAGTTAACCCTATGGTAAACTAGAAAGTAATGCACGAAAGTAAACGAATAATAATTCACAGATCACATTCCATCACTCTGTTTCACAACACTATTATTTATTTGCAATGGCAGCCCACAAAATTTAGTCCACCTAATTAAAAATCACAATATAATTTATTTAACAGATACGTAACTGAATTATATTACATATTTTATTATTTAAATGTATTAAATCTAAACTCAACACCTATCTATGCATGTGTAGCACTGTCTTCAACGAAGTCTCTCGCCTCTTCTTGGGTGACACATTCCACGTGTGACACTTTATTCCTGAACTTGACGCCGTAGAATTTGTGGGCGTGCTCCAAAAGCTCCGGCCGGAAAGTGGTCGTAATGAATTGAGCGGAAGATGATAATTCGTGGATCATGTTCGCGATCGCTTTACGATGTTGAGCGTCTAGAGCCTAGAGGGTAAGATAAATATTCAATTAAAATAGTGATGTATCAAGCTGTTGGGAATATTCATAAATATACCTTGCAACATTTATAATGATAATTAGATATAGGTGATTTACTCAATAATGTGATAACACTGTCATTTTTTTTCCGGTTCCCAAGCGAAATTTAAGAGTTTTAACGTGTGTCCTGCATTTTTATTATACTTCCCCTGGTGTTTTAGACATTAAGAAACCAGCAAAGGCAGCCGCCATCATAGTCCTTCGAGCAGGATAAAAAAGGGAAAAAATGATGTTGTCACATTATTGAGTAAATCACCTATAATCTTATTTTTATTATAAATGTTATTATTCCCAACAGTTGCTAAGTTTCCCAACAGATCAATTTGAATTATGTTTGTTCAGATAGTAAGTAATATTTGAAGCAATAGCTTTTAATGTTGTTTCTCTTTACAGGTTATTAATTAATAATTTCAGTGTAAAGTGTAAAAAAGATTTGTGTTTTATGATGATTTGTGAAAAATAAATTTCTCTTTACAGAGCAACAACTTTAGTTATTATTTCATGAGAAAATAACATATTACACCCATATTTTATTGTCGCAAAACAAACTTGCAATTTTATAATCTGTAGATCGGAAAACCGAATAGATTGGCAATTCCCGGTTAAGACCATGTCTAAAACCGTTAAATAATATAAAGCAGAGCAATTCCGTAAAGATCCAAACTCGAATTCTAAATCACTCAGGTGTCCGAGTACACTTCGAAAGCGACATCCGCTCAACCTTGAATTGATATTGACGTTTAATGATGGCATAAGTGAAGTGAGTTACGAAATCACATACGGATAGATTATCTAAGACACGTATGAATCAATCATTCTTGTTTTGAATTTTTATATGAAAGATAGAATTCCTTAATTGGAATTCGGTCACCGAGTCATAGATACAGTATACAGATGCCTCATCCCATAGAACAAAATGTGACCGTCCTAACTCTGGCTATTGTTCGGGCTAGTTTGTCTTACTTGAGTCGGCGCTAGATACCGCAAGTGAGCAAGCAACTCTGCTATTCTATGGATTTTCGCATAAACGGCAATAGATGGCGTCGATTTGTAGCACACCATAAAATAACGTTAATATGGATACACATTAAATATACCTATAACAGTTTCTTGTGTCTACTACTCAATGTAAGTTTATCGTCTTTTATTTTTGTTTTAAATCGTCAATCAATCAAAAATTAAACACCAAGAAAAAATGTTTTAAATAAAATAATAATAAAAACATTTACAACGCCATCTCTGCATAGACATTTAATTATTTAAAGCATACTTTTGCTCTAAAATTGTGACAACTTGTAATTTTACTAGAACTCGATTAAATAACCCTTTATTTCGTTATTCCGATTTATTTCCCTTTAAGAAATTATACTGGTTATTATATATTTGGATTTTTCACTAATGTAAATATTGAATGATACACGTAACGCCATCTATTGTAATTTTAAAAAACAAATATTTTGAATTTATCGATGAGACCCTGTGCCCAAGTGAATTTTTACGGAATCGCGGTTACTAATCAGTCCAAAGTCATTAACTTACCTGATCGATTTCGTCGAACAGATAGAATGGTGCAGGATCACACTTTTGTATGGCGAATATAAGGGCCAGGGCCACTAGTGACTTCTGCCCGCCGGACAGCTGGTTCATCTCTCGCATATCGCCCTCCCCGCCAGTGAACGATACTTTGATACCGACGCCGGCGAATTGATCTCCTGTCGCACGCTAAATTAGAATAAAATGAAAGAAAGAGGTAAAGTTTTTTTTGTTTGTACATGGTCATTTTCGGAAATACTGTAGGCCGACTATCTAATTACAAAATCTATAAGTGAATAGTTGAGATTTATGGAATTATTTATCTGCAATCGCATTTGGAACGAATAATGGTTTGAATAATCGAGAAACAATGAAATCTTACCTAAACAAGTCGAAAGAGGAAGGGAGGGGTTAACTCTTTCGTCTAACGTTTCTCAATAGATTTTAAAGATATTTGAACTTAACGCTTGTATTAGACAATTAACGTCAAATCAACAATATCGTTCAGTCAATGTATTAAAAAAAAAGTCGAGATCACAATTTTAATGTCAAAATAGTTGTAACGTGAAATTCTTGAATATCTTTGATAACAATTGATATCACCATAAACACGACACTAAACCGGCGGGGACTGATGATGATATAAAGTAGATTAAATATTTCAAAAAATAATAAACAATTTTTTAATTAAATAATGATACAAAAAATATGTTCATATATAAATATATGTTCATAATTAATGTTCATATAATTTTCGACAAATACCGGTAAAAAAGAAGTTTTTTTTTAAACACGTTCGAACGACCTCCTTAGACGAGTGGTTCGCATGCCGGTATCGAGGTCCCGGGTCCCGAGGTCCCGGGTTCGATTCCCGGTCGGGTCAATATAAAAAAATTGGTTCTGTGTGTTGCGGTACGTACGTTGACTCAGATACTCCCCAACCCGTGTAGTGGACTATTAGTGGTTATTAGGCTTCGAATCCGAGCAATGTATATGATGTTGTCTAATCTATATATTAATACATGAAGCAAAAACTTTGGACCCCTTTTTACGTAAATTGCGAGTACGGAGGAGTATGAAATTTGGCACACTTATAGTTTATATGTAGGAGAAATGGAAACGGCTTATATTTTTCACAAATAATACTTGTAAAGTACATTAAATCGATAAAAAAAAACATTACACACACTACTATGCATTTTTTTCACACACAAACAAGTATTTGCTACACGCATTCATGTAATCTGTGGTCACATTGTATCTTTTGACATAGAGTTTGTTTGTTTCTTTTGAATATTGGCTTCGCACAGTTTGTGCATTTAGCCAGTGTTAAGTTTTATATGTTAACCATAGACATCTATTTATGTTTGTGATGTTTACTGTGGTTTTATTGAATGTCGAAAGATTTATGTCGAATAATTTCTAATTGAAATTTATTACGGTTGAATTTCAACCACTAGTATTTATTATTATACTAGCTGAGCCGACAAACGTTGTCCTGTCTTAATTTTGAATATTGATTTCAAACAGTATTTTTTACAGCTATTTGACGATATTTACAGCACGCATTTTGTCATACGTTATGACGTAAGGTTACATTAAAAAAATATATATTACCCAAAGCACTAAGGTTAAATTTGAAATAAATTTATATACTGATTAAATATTCTTAAATTTTCCACACTTTTTTCTTTTCTTTTTCTTATGAAAGAAAAACAAAAGAAAATGGAAATGGAAAAGAACATTCTCTTAACAATAACAATCATTCTCAATCAAAGAATAAGCGATATCAGTCCAGCCGTTCACAGGAAATAGGGATTCAGTTTTTATACTTAATGCACAATTGTACATAGGCGGACTTAATGCCTTTTCTCCCAGTCAACCTTTGTGTGATATGGAGATTTAATTATAGTGAGTAGGTGCTCATTTAAGTACAAAATCATAAACCTACACAAATAACGTAAAGAGATAAAACATGGTTACAAATTAATTATATACATGTAAATAAATATTATTATTAATTTATTTTCGTAGATGTTACAATTACTCACCTCAGCGTTGAGTTCCGACGCATCATCAGCTCCGGTCCTCATGATGAGCGAGCCGCGACCGTGCGGCACCAGTTTCTTGAACACCTCCGTGAAATTCTTGCTGACCTGACGGAACGTGAACTGGATCGCTTCCAACTTACGGTGCTCCAGTGTCTCTATAAGCTCGCGAATCTTTTCACCGCTGTTGGAAAAAAATTGTATATTCATCATCGTATATGACGAGTAATTGCTTATCTGTCCGTCAGGTACATTACTAAAAAAATATTTAAACCATATTTGCGAGATCAATAAATTAAGGCAGTACATCGAGTTGAAATATCGCATGACGCCACGGCTTTGTACATTTTCTAAATAATTGTGTCGTGAGCGAGACCCCACTCCTCTTTAATGCGTATTAACTAAGTCATTTCTTGTTAAATTGAAGCAAAAAACAATAACGTACCTAATATTTTTCTATTGTATGACTGACGGACTAAATAGATTTTTTTTAACCCAGGCATCATCCCTATTTTCGTATATAAAATCAGTGTGAATTAATTTTCGAGTTATCAATTCATAAATAGAACTTCGGTAATAAAAAATAAGCAAAAACTAAAACAGATGTTCTAATTTTTGCTCATAAAATCCTGTCCCAGTTATCTGGCAATGAACAGGGGATGTGAAATGGGACAAGCATCTAACTATCTTTGTACAAATATTACTTTCATTGATTAGATCGAATAAACAGGGATTACCAGTAACGAGAGGACCAAATTGAGAACCCTTAGGAACACCGTTATAATAAACAATATTCTATATCTATAACATTCTCGAACTAAAACTTAAGTATGTTTAGAATGAAAAATAAAGCTTTTTTAGTTGTTCCTGAACCTGTATATACCACCTTTTTATCAGAACTAATGTAAACGAGAACAAAAGCTTTTTGTAAGGCTCATTAAATATTTCCATATCTAATTTTAAAAAAAAAACTACTTATCGTACAGCTAGCCCTCTTTCGTATATTGAAGTATTTGTTAAATAAGAGTAACATGTAATCTCCATTGCAGAAGGTAGATTGATTCTTACCCAATATCCAGCTCTTCTTTGCGTTTATAAAGTTTTTCCTTTTGCTCCGAAAAGCTGATGAATTGATCCAAGGCTTTTTTGTTCACATGGTTGTACTTTTTTAAATGCTGATTGGCTTTCTCTAGTTCTTTGAAAAGCTGCAAATCAATATGACTTTAAAGATTATTTATATCTACTTCTACTATAATATTATGTCAAATTATCAGTACTAGACTGGTTTTTAAGAACTTATTATAGTTTTACCTTAATATATCAATGTTTTATGTGTATTATAAGTACGTACTTGTTTTAAAGATAATTTCTGATATTTAGCATGTAATTCTGGTGCATTTGGCAGCGTACCCAGCGCTGCGATTTTGTCTAGTGATTCTTGTATTTTCTCTTGCAGTAGAACTTCTTTTGAGGCCATCTTCTCTAATCCTTTCGCATCCTCCTCCATTTTGTCTTGTGCTTCTTTTTCCTACAAAGAATTTATACTTTAATGTTATTTTTTAAATTTGTATTAACTTTCAGTATTAACTTTCAGTGTATAGGACGAACATGTTTATATTTGAATATTATTTTAAAATCACTCAAACGTTATATCTTCTGGTCTTAAGTAATAAGTTCAAGCCTAACACTGAAATCTACACCTAGAAAACATAAGACATACCATATATCGTGGTTTCCAGAAATCAGTCTCAACTTTATATTTACCTTATTCCTCCACTTGTCTAGTTCCATTTTCAGTGTCTTCTCGTTCTTGACAGCTGCTTGAACTTTCCTCTCGACTTCTTCCATCTCTTTATTGATCTGTTTGATCCGTTTCTCGGCGGCGGTTAGATCACCTTTACTATTCGCTAAGCGACGCTTACGATCTTCTACTGATATCTCTTGAAGAGCTTGCACTAATTCGTCTTTACGTCTGTTGATGGAATTTTATTTATTTACTATTACCGCAGATATATGTCTGAATTGATTATTGTCTGTATTTTCAAAATAATATATAAAGATACAATATAGCAGACATCAATTCCAAAAGGATGAAGATTGTATGGCACCATTAAAGGGAGCGATATTGTTAGCATAAGATACATATCTATATAGATCTTGTAAGATTTGGAATATTCTGTCAATTATTATACCACTTTTATTCTCAGAAGTTTTTAAGTATATTTTTGCCGAAGTCAAAAAGCGATCATCAAATACTAACAATCAAAATAATAAGCAAGAGTTAAACTTTTAGGACTCGCATACCTGATCAAGTTGTTAGTGAGTAAGTTCTCCAATTTATTCTTGGTAGCCTCCAGGTTCATTCTGGCGCTGAATGCTTCTTTATTCTCTTGTGTAAGTCTTCTGATGGCGTCATTCAACTCATCCACTTTACCTTGATCCGCAGTCGATAATTGCTCCATTAATTCCTAAACAGTTAATATTAGGACCATTTACGTATTGCGTATGGGAAGCCAAATAACTGCCATTTTGAACTTAACCATAAACAAATTAAGGTCTTTTTTCACTACTACTATAGACTTATTAGAGAAATTTTGAATTTTACAATCAATCTAAACCTAAAATTTTCCGAAATATAAAACCAAAGATTTAATTTTAAAAAAAATGTATATTGGATTTAATAAGTTATAATATGAGCATTACAGATTCATAAATTAATTACCTTTGCGAGAAACTTAAAAACTGTCTACTGTTAACAACCCTAGAAATTATAACATATTGGTTCTAACATAAACATTCATCATAATACAAAGGTAAGCAAATAATAAATTAACAGGTATTTAATATAAAGACAAAATTCTATTACGTATTGAACTTACCTGATGTAATTCAGATTCGAGTCCCTCTTTGGTAGCTTGCATCGCTTCCAAACTTGAACGGCATTGAGCCAGGGACCGTTCTTTGGGACCACGGAATCTTTCGATAGATGCTAACTCTTCTTTCATCAAGCGAATGTCTGCCTTTACTTTATCGAAAATATCCCTAACAATAAAGAATTTAATTATCAATATTTCGGAATACCATAAAGCTAGAATGCGACAGGCCCAGTTCCAAATTTCTGTTTTGATTTTAAAAACATCATATATTTGAGCAACGAACCTAAACATAATATGTACACAGGATTTAATTGAAAATTAAATGTCAAAAAATGGTTCCAACTCAGCATATGCTTGTTTTACAATCTTGTGAAATTTAAGAACATTGCACTGAATACCATAAATTTAAAATCAGATTTAATTTCATTGTTCAGTACAGATATCAAAGATAGATATAAAAGTCTTGAAGTTGTTATGCATTTATTAGAACAAAACGTAAAAGTAATATCGTAGTAGTTATTTTTGCTTAAACAGTGTGGATGAGCATAAAATAAGCACAGAAATTTAAAGGTATCCTAATTTAATTAGAATAATCGAGGGCGATTTTTTTTATTTATTACTTTGACTTATTATTAGCCTTTAAAATAATGTGGTCATGTGGAATAAAGCCTGTCTTAGTCTTGGTTTGTATGTAATGTAATAGGGATGACGACTGGGTAAAAAAAATGCAATTCTATTTGGTCCGTCAGTCAGAGAATACAAAAATATTAGATACGTATTTTTTTTTTTACTTCAATTTAACAAGAAATACCTTAGATAAATAGAATAGCTACGTCACAGTTGAGTAGAAAACGTACCATAACGTGACGTCATGCGAAATTTCAACTCCATGTAACGCCGTAATTTTATGAATACGAATACAAATAAAAAAATACGTGTTTAATATTTTTAACACTCTACCTGACGAACAAACAAACAAAAATTAGTCATCATCCCTATTGTGTATGTAATAATACATACAAAAGATCCGATCAGGTTCAAGGCCCAATGCGACGCCCGTGACGCAAGACAGTCCTTTATTGTCTAAGTAAATAATCTACTATTCTTAGCTTGTGAATTGTAGAAATATTTAATATTTTTTGAAATGGTCATTATGTGTCAGTCAACAAGAAGGAAATCATTCCGTACTTCAATGAATGAAAAAAAAAAGGGAAATATATTTTGAGTATCTTTGTGGTCTCTATTATTTCAGCAAAAGCTATTTTATATGACACAAGTAAGTCAAAGTAGAGGTTCAGACAACAATTTAATGAAAATGTAATTGTGTGTGATTATAATACGGCGAATTTTTTTGCAAAATAAAAACGCTTATATTTTTAAATCAATAAACAAAAACAGAATTTTTTCAATGTATGTAGTCTTTGATTCACGATTGAGTAAGTGAAGTGAAACATTCAAAGTATAAAACAATTTTAATGATATACTGAATTTTTAACAGGTTTGTAACCTGTGCCATTATTGTGTTTTATTTATTTGTAAGCATGATAAACAACACAAACAGCAAACGATAATAATTTTTTTTTACTGAAAATCCCTTTTTTTACTCCACAAATGACGTTACGTCTTCCGAGTCATCGATTATGCGGTTTCTTAAACAGTTTAATATTAAACATTTCTTTTGGGTAAATAATAAAGGTTATTTACATAAAATAATCTTTTTCGTGGAAATAACTCTCCATATTTATAATTTAATAGTTTATAGTAAAATAAGTAATAAGTCTAACTTCCTATTGAGGGCTAACAGTGTACAAAATTGAACATTATCCATCGCTTAATTCCAATAAATGATTGATGAAAAAAATAGTAATAAAGATTAAAAAGTGACAGTGACAACTCACTAACAGATAGTGATCCCCGTATGCAATCAATAAATAGTGGTGTCCTTGGTAATTGATATATTTTTTTTAAAATTGATTACTTACTTTGCTTTCCCCTGTTTAGTTTCAGTTCTTTGCATCTCAGATACAATAGTGTTGATACTTGTTTCAGTCTTATTCAACTCTTGTCGTAAAGTGCTCAGTTCTTGTTCCAATGTTGTTATTTGTTCCATCAGTTCAGAACGAGTCTTCTGCATTTCAAGACGAGATCGCGATTGGTTGAAATAACCACCTGTTAGGGAGCCTTTCGATGATACCTAGAAGAAGTATGAAGCAATTATAACTCTTATATGTAAAGTAATAAGGTAATCTTCGTTGATTTCTATGGATTTGAAAAAAAAAAAGTTTATTAAAATATATCAAACCCATGGAAAAGCATAACATATTTTCTATTTTTTTTTATAAATTTTATTATTATAAGCTTTTTTAATATATTCTTTTATATTTATTCTCCTTGTATACAAGGCTAGACATATGATATTTTTCTGTCTACCTTAACATCCGATCCCATGCCCGGTAAGCAGATATTACACATATTCATTCTCAGTATAAAATAATAGATACATAATACGGGTGTGGACAGTAAACGAAAATAAATACATATTATTTGTTTCTAGTTGTGTTAAATATACTATTACCGATAATTACACTTTTATGCTTATTATATTTATAATATTGCTAAATTATGAAAAGACAAATAAGTCATACGTTGTCACGTGACCGCAAACAGCGCGTGACGTCACTCATATCAGAACTTAAGAGTATTCAACCTTATGGATACATAGAATGGTATTAGTTTTAGAGGGTCTTGACTTCGTGGCGACTCCTTGACATAAGTTGGCGTTTTCGCAGGAAATTTTGAAAATACAATTTATTTTAAATTCTTAAGTTATTAAATGAAATATATATAAAGTAAAATTATTAAAGAAAAGTTGTCTACCCCTATTATATTAAGTGTAATAAAAATACTATACAAATATCTTCTATCACAATATTACCTGGTCTCCTTCCAATGTGACGCAGTCCAAGTGGAATTGTTTCCCGAGTTCAGTGGCGCATTCTAGATTTCTGCAAATCAACGTCTTGCCGAAGATATATTTCATCGCCTTCGCGTATTTGGGGTCGTATTTCAACTTCTGCACCATCGCTATGGCGTTCTATGTTATATACAAAACAAATATAATATATGCACAACAATAATATGAGTGTTAACTATTTCGCGAATTAAAACATATACACAGACCAACAAAGACCTTCATATAGAAACTTTATCACGACTCTGATTAAAAAATTTTTGTCCTATTGTTTTAAGTGGTTTTATTCGTATATTTTAATATGGATAAGACTGAGGGGATCTAAAATATTAGTTATTTAAGACTTAATAATAGAGTAGCTTGACTTTATGTTGTAGTGGGAGAATATTATCGAAATAATTTTGTTTGTTAAAAAAGTATATCCTATGGTATAATATAGGTATTCTAAACAATAAATAGCTATATCCTTTGCTATGATATAAGTAATCTAAGCAGCGAATATAGGAGTACCTACAAATACAGATCTAACACTAATATTTTTTCTCTATGAGTTCAAGTAGTGACATTCTTAAGTTGGGCTCCGAAACACGAAGGAGCTCATGATATTATATTTTTGCTCACCCATCTTATGACCGGCCATTTGAAACTTGCTTAACTTAAACATCTATATTCAAAGAAGGTGTTTGATTATTTGGTGCATACTGTTATTATTGAGATAAACATTTTGAAATAATAGTTACGGTGTAATTTTTCGTTCTTTGTCTTCACTTTATTTTTTTCAACTTTCTATTGCTAACATATTAATCTTAAAGCAACTAAATCACTCACATTGTCATTAGGATACACCATGTCTCGTACTTGAAGTCTGTTCAGAGGCATGAACGTGACTTCACCGGGTAAACTCTGACGGTTCATCTCCTTCAGAATTTTGGTGCCGACAGTATCTGACTCCACTATGTGATGGAATAGACGGTTACCGGCTGTTACCTAAGAACAAATACAAATATCGTGAGAGAAAAATCACCGTATGCGCCTGCGCACATTACTTTTCTATAGATAGAATCACATAGGTAAAATAGAAGACTCTTCAAAACTCTAATATGTGTATTAATTTGAAAGAAACGCACTTTTCGACTATAGGGATGTGACCTGAGTAAAAAACAATCTTTTTAATTCGTCAGTCAGACAATAGAAAAATATTAGTTACAAATCTATTTAACAAGAAATAGGTAACTTATATAACAGGCATCAAAGGCAATAAATTAAAGGCTAATTTAATAGTCTACTTCGTCTATTTTATACACAATACATAATGCAACGAGGTAGGACCGAGATTGCCTCTGATGCATAGATAGTTTTCACGGATATGATATTAACAAAATTATAAGATATAATTTTGTTAATATCATATTATAAGAGATAAGAAGGATACAAAATTTTCCCAATTTTCGTGATCAAACAGTGGCCATAATCAAGTATGCTGAGCCCAATTCAAATCAATAATTGCTATCGACTTGAGACAGCCAAAAATATTAACCAGGATAGAAAATAATATATTCTTATTTCAATATATTGAAGATAAGAAATTAATCATTGTGAAGATTAGCAGTGATAATTTTTGTCTTAAAATTTTTTATATATCAACATTTTAACCGTGTTTCTTCACTAAGAAATATACTATAGTTCTCAAATTTTTTATTACAGTTTATTTGTTACAATAAAATAAATGATAATAACATCGTTAATAAAAAATGCAATAACATTATAATCACCTTCAGTATTTTGAGCGCTATATAAATAACATTAGTACTTACTTCAACCGCAGTGTATATAGTCTTATCACAAGTGAAGTTCTCAATGACAGGTCCGTAGTATTGTGTTGCTATTTTCGCCCACTCTCCCCCTCTCTCTTGGAATGTTTCTAATACTTTTCTGACACTGTCCCTTCCGTTGAGGATCGGCTGTAGAAATCGTAAAATAATTTATATGTACAGAAAAAATATGTAGTCAGTACGCCAAATTTAATATTGTGTTGGTAATGGTGAATAATATTCCCATTTTAGTCTCCCTTTTTTTAAACTGCATCAGCGTTAAAAAGTAGTCTATAAACTCATTGCTACTTATGACTATTAAAATAACTATAAAAATTAAATTATCCATATTATTATTTCATTATGAATTTTAAAAAATCTTTGTCATATGTTCTGTTAACGATAATAAACCATAGGAAAAAGTTAGAGCACTGATAATTCCTTTTTTTCTGTATTGGGTAAATATCATTGCAGTTTTTATTGCCAAAACAGAGCATGCAATTTCTGAGGAGATTTTTTAAATATCTATTGGTATTTTGTGAATTTAACATTCAGAAAAAAATGCTTGGATTCTTGCTTACTTTGCCAGCCATAGATCGAAGTGCTTGATCAGCTTTAGCTAAATCTTCTTTCAGAGAAGACAGATTCTGCGTCAATGTGGTCTCCTTTCGCCATAGTTCGCTATAAAACAAAACCATTTTACCATTATAATGAAAGTTTTAATTGTATATAATAATATCATTTAATATTTCACAAATATAAAATCATTATAAAAATAAATTAGTACTATACTTCATGGCTTAGCTGTGGTTTTAGTACTGTTAGCAAAAAAAAAAGTTCGCTAAATATTTCTTGGATTCCGTGTTTAACTTTATAGATACGTCATATTATTGGAAATATTACGATTGGCATGTCTTAAACAAAAATTAATAAAATATATTTTCTAAAGGGGCTATCCCTAAATTACGTCACATATTAAGAGGGAGGGAAGGAAACAAAGTGTGGCACTGTACGACATGGGGGTGGGAGGGGCCTTAAGTTTAGTGGCGTCACATTTCAAAATCTATTAGTACCTAAGTGTTAAAACACAAACTTTAAACTATTACTTTACAAAAACCTCAAAAACATATACAACTATATTCTATAGTCACTCGTTCTAATATAGGTGATCGTTTTTGTTTTGTTTTATATGATGTTAATATTATTCAAAAATAATTCAAATGGAAATAAAACTGATTTCGTAACCTCTGTTTTCATTCAGTAATTTCTAAATGTAAATTTGCAAAATATGTGACGTCACATTAGTCAGTTGTGACAAGGACGGAGGGCGATGCAAAAAATCGTATAATTTATGGATGACCCCAAATCAAAATATAAAGTTGCCGATTTTAGCAGCAATTAACGATAGCTTAACGTTTAAATTAACGTTTTATAACTTCGGGCTCAATTACAAATGTCAGTTTGCCATGATCCGGTAATAAAAAAAAATATATTACCATTATATTTATGCCTTTTTTTTGCACGTCTTACGTTATGTCGAAGTTGAAGCGCAATGCGAACCAAGATGGCTATTTGACAGTACTATTTTTATTTATCTCGCACAGTAATTAACATAAACCTAATTGTATTTATATAAAAAAGGCCTCACTTAGTCCAATTTTATAAACAAATTTATCATTACAGCTTGAATAAAAGATAACTTACTTCCTAGCACTCTGTTCTTGATCCTTCTTTTTCTTACACTCATAATACTGTTTGTTGTGTTCATCAATGGCCACTCTTTGTCTCTCCATCTCTTTAGTCATTTCTTCTATCCTCTTCTCTAATTCAGTCAGTTTGGTCGCGTCACGTCTTAGATCTTCGCGCAATTTACCTTCGTGGTCCTTCTTGTCCTTTATTTGTTTATTTAGAGATCTGTAAGGGGGTAGCATATTTTAATTTCTTTTTAGTGAATATGAACAAAACCATTTTATCAACTTACCGATAACTAGTACTGCTTAGATTAGAATAATATTGTTTATTATATCCACACTACTGCCTCTTATAAAATGATTTTCTTTGAAATTAATATAAATCGAAACTCAAAACTCATAATATACAGCCAGGTTAATACTTAAAGTCAAATTTCTTCAATCGATATTAAGCCTACACATGCATTAGCATGTATAAGTTCAAAAATTACTGAAACATGTTCTTTTATAGTAATTTAGCTGCTCTGTGTACATACAATAATATTGTAAGCAAAGTTGAAGCAGCATGTTGCTAAGTTGCTGGCAACAATGCGTGTTGCGAAGTTGGTCAACAGTTGCGCAACAAATATTTACTATGAATACAGGGCTTAACATAATTTTTAAAACTGGCAACACAAGAATGAGTGTCTATACATAAAAATATTTGAATAATTAACAGCATCAAATAAATACCTAGATACAATAAAGCGACAGAGTATTTGATACTTTTCTGAAAAATATTTTAAATGGTTAATTGATACATTATGTATAAACACACTATATTTCATGGGAATCTGTTCTTTTTTCGATGAAAATAATTGTTGAAGTTTAAATTAAAAAAAAAAACGTGTATTTGTATCTACTCTGGTTTTGTTTACAAAAATGAACTAGAAATTGTATGTATAAATAATAATTTTGAGTATCTCTAATAACACTGTTTTGACATGACAGCTTTCTTGTGACGTCACATGGCGGTAAACAGAAACTGTTATTGGTTGCGACGACAACGAATTACAGGGCGTTTTCTTCGTTCATTAAATTCCTAAAAATGTTGCATTTACGTCACATTATTTTACTAAAGCTAAACACATGTTGTCTGTAGATTCTAAGAAATAAAATTTATTAGATTATTTATCTAATAGGATGGCAACATGCAACTTATTTTCAATTGCGTCAAATACCCTATTACGCGTAATGCAGCCAAAAGTGACGTAAAAATGAAGTACTTACTTCAACTCTTTCTCGATCCATCTATCTCTGTCTTGCTTGGAAGTGAACTGTGTGCCTCGTCCCTGTTTCGCATATAACTCCTGCCTCTTCTGCTGATTGAGAGCTAAAGCTCTGGTGCATTCCTCCTCGCGCGCTTTCATCTCCTCGTATTTCGGCTTCAACTCCTCTAGCTCGCGCTCTTTCTCCGATATTTGCTGCCTCAGTCGTTCCAGCTCAGCTTCGGCTCTTTCCTGTTTGGCAATAGTCACCAGTCTATTAATATCCCCACTGCTGAAGCTCAGGCCTTCTTTATGGAATCGAATCGAATAGGTAGAGCGAGCCATGACCCACGTGGGCCCAGTGCGGATTGGCGGGTATTAACTGCAGATGCAGCCGGGACCTATGGATTAAAGTGCATGGTTATGGCCCATTTTCTTTAACCTTCTTTAAGGAAGGCCTGAGCCCATGCAGTGGGAACGTAGAAGAGCTGATGATGATCTGTGCAAGAAATACTTATATTTGCGCACTAGTGAAAGAGATATGTAATGCTGGGTATGAAATTTTCAGTCAGTGACCGAGTTATAGCAGGTATATCGTTTTCAGTTATGATCACATGGTTGTTAGAAGTCAGGCAATGTAAGACCATAACAAAAATGGCGGAAAATCTAAAAAACATTTGTATATATTACTAATGATAATTATTTATTGTGAAATGCAGGTTACTTGATTACATGTTATTTTAGTGTTACATTGTCTCATTAAATTTTCACCATTTTACAACCCTTTCCTGGTGTGGAACTCGTGCACCTACCCTAGTTACTATGAAATGAAATATGTTTGTAATAATACCTTAGATTTGTTGTCACCATCAACATCATCAGTCAAGTCTTTGATGGCCAGTTCCAATTTGGTTTTCTCTCTCAACAACTGTTGCTGTTCTGTCGATAAAATATCCTTCTCTTCGCGTGCTGCAGCCACATCTTTACGCGCTTCCTTCAGTTTTCTAAATTATTAATGAATTATGTAAAATATTAACATATACTATGTGACACCGTCAACCATATACTATGTGACATGCAATAAATTAATTATTTTTATTATTATTATTAGGGGTGATCATTAAAAATGTAAATCCCTGGATACGGTTCGGAATTCCGATATTCATTTCTTTAAATCATTCATTTCACAGATATAAATCACACTGGAGATAATACAAAAAAAAACATACAAAAGAAAAGAATGGTGTCAAGTGCCATGTTAATTCCTATGAGTAGTATTCTGTTTCAGTAGCAACTATATACGGTTCGGTAGGAGACAGTGCACCACAAATTTAAATACATATGCACACAAATATTTATAATAGGAAAATGTATTTGTCCTTTCACATTGCAACGAAGCGTTAATATGGTATGTTATTTTGAATGGTACAAATTCTTAACTAGAACGCGTTAACGTAAAACTTACACATATCTCAGTTTTTAAGGTTAACGTGCGATACATTTAACAGGAGAACCTTCGACTGTATAAAATAAACACCCAATTGCCCAAACATCCATTAAATCTAAATGACGACTTTAAGCTCTAATAAGAGTACTTTTGACACGATAAATAGTCGTTTGTGCAACAAAGTGTAATAGCTGGTTTACGTAATTAAGTAAATATGTAGTGTAGTGAGTAGATTTTTAATGGCAAGTTGTACAAACGTCCATTTAGGTTGAATGAATGTTAAATTTGTATGGGGTAATGTCGCTTTAAATAAATTACGATTTTAATGGACGTTTGTGCAACTAGCTGTAAGTCAATTTAAGTGAATAATAAACTGTAAACACACAAATAAGTAATAGGTACCAAGTTAACATTTAATTAACTACTTATGAGTTTAATTAGAATTACTTCATAAATTAAATTAAAAATCTACTTACTACTTAATCACGTGTAAACAAGCCATTAGTGACATATACCCGGTTTCTTAATTGAGTATCTAATACATACCGATTAGCTTCTCTAACGTGATCTTGAGCTTCTCTTACTAAATCAGCGTAGTGTTGCTGCTCTTTACCGCTGTTTGAACGCATCTTCTCCAACTATATTCATATAATCTCACTGTCAGTTCATTTATATACAGTGTGTTAATTATCGGGGGGCTAATTTTAAAATATATTGCAATCCCTTCAATGTGACATTTGAAAGATATCTACGAAACAACTATTTCACATATCATAGCGATTGCAACGATTTTTTGAACGATCGGAAATAATGATACCGTTAGTTTTAACATTAATTGGATTTGTCTAAGGCAAATGTTAGACTCGTATGATATCTTTGAAAACTATTCTTAACGAAAAATGCTTAAAGCCCCAGGTACTCTGAGATGGGACTCAAACTCACAACTCGAACACACAAGCTGTTCGCGCCGTTCCCGTTTCTCAGCGCGGGCCGAGGAGGCGCGGGGGGAGGAAACCTGTCTGCGTCACCACTACTGCCAGCCGGAGGACGAGAGCCGAACAATACCTTCTTGCACAACGAGACGCCGGCGCGAGAGGGCGCGCGCACCACATCATTCCTTATTATATACAATCACTGTTGTAATAATTATAAAAAAGAGGAGTAAATTTGTAAAGTCATATTTATGTTTCAATTACTGAACACAAGCATTTTTCATTAAGAATATTTTGCAGTATACCATTGTGAATGCAAAATTGATATAATATAATAACTATTGAGAAATGTCAATGCTATGTGCAATCATTCAAGGGGTTTAAGTAAATTTTTATCATACTTCTTGACCATTCAAATCATCATTATGACTTTAGAGGTTATATAAATAAATCGCTATACTATTGAAAAGGATTGCAATTGATTTTAAAATTAGACAATTAGTCCATTGATTTCGGACACTTTTTCCACGTATCATAGAGTAAGTTCCAACTTTTATAGCGTATAGTGAGCAAACCTACGAATCCCTACGATTATGGAACGATGATAATGTAAAATGTTTCATTGACCATAAGGTGTAAAATACAACGGCTTACACTCACACTCAGCGTCGTCAGGTAGCGATATTGATGGATACTTCAATCGTTCTGATCGTACTTCAAGCCTTCTGTATACATCCGTTAGTTAGCAATATCAGTTATATTTTACTGTAACCATAAGGTTCATAATGTAACTAACAGCCTATATTAAATAACAAGCATACCTCATCAAGTTTTCTTTTATTTTCCCTGTGCTCTGTGTCGTGAATAATAAATTCTAGAACGCGACGAGCGCGATCCCACTTCTGGTATTCTTTCAGTTCCTCCTTCTCTTCTTCCAGAGTCTTCAGACGTTCTTCGATAGTCTGAAGAAATTCATTAATCTTCTCCACCTGAATAGTTGGATCAAAAGTTACAAATAAATAAAAGTATTCTAGTAAAGTAACAGAAAATTTCTTCACACAACCTAATATATTTTGTTGGTATTGTCTAACATCTTCATAGAAGAAATACATTCTTAATACATTTCAAGATGATCATTTTCATGGTCATGATAATGTTCATAGCTATATTTGGCTCTAAATTTGATTGTGTTCATTTGTACTGGCTAAAAAAATTTAAAACCAGCACATATTTGATTATCTATTACAAGTGATAGCTTACATCTATTGCATCTTAACTAATATAAACTTTAGAGATATTGTTTTGTTATGTAATAAAGAGAGTGTTTTGTTTTTTTTTTTTTAAATACGTCTTACCTTTCCTACTGTCTCTTTGAGAATAGTGACAGACTCTTCTCTGCGTTCATCATACACTCTTGTACCAGCCACTTCCCTCAACAGCTTCAATCTGTGTGAATCTGGTGCCACAGCCATTTGGTTAATCTGTTGACAAATTATTCAATTTAAAACGCTATAACTGATAAGCGCAGCATCACGATGTTTCATCTACGTGTTACTAGATAGCATTACGTGTCATTTAAAACGCGCACCACCGTCGAAACTATGTGTGTCATGTGTCATATACATCAGAGAGAAATGAAGGATCACTAGGGAAGAAAGGGATGGGTAGCGTTCAAGAACTTTTTAGTAATACCTCGAATTCACCAGTACAGCCAAGGCCAACCTAGAATGTTCTAGAACATTCTAGGATGTTCTAGAACATTCTAGGTTATGGTAATTCGGTTCGTGAGTAGTGAACTGAATACGAGACCAAGCGAATACAAGCGAAACTCGAAGCGATAACTATATGAACAATCTATTAGCGTTGTGAAGTAAGTGTAGTGACGTGAATAAGAGAAGCTGAAGAAGTGTGCATTTGCTGTTGGTTCATTTATGTGATCTTATTAAGTACTCGTAAATAATGTCGGAGTGTGAACTATAACTGGCATATTTTTTTTATCCCCGAACCCTAAGTCGTAAGAATAGCTTGATAAAGGGGAATCATCTTTAAAGAACTATCATTTTTTATTTCTGATACAGAAAATGATAGAAAAATAAAAAATATGAAATGCTTAATTTTTAATTATAAAATGTTTTAATTTTACTTTTTGTTCTATGCGATTTCCTAGTTATTTATATTTTCTTTGTATAATTTTTAGTTTAAAAAAATAAAAATAAAAGCTGGATCAATTTTGATGCTTTTCTATCTTTCTAAAATTTTTGCTAATTAAAATAATTATCTTGATAATTACAAACCCTGCTTATTACTCATGACTTGTAATATATAGTGTTTATTATTTTTAATATTACACTTACTTGGAAAGTTCATCAATAATAAAAGTAGTGTAATGTAAAATATAAAATAGCCCTAGGTTGTAAGTAGAATTCATTACTTAATTTGCAATATACATATTATATATGTGTAAAAGTTGTTTACTTCAAAACTACTCGCTAAATCAACTCTACTCTAGAGTGAGAGGATTAGTGAACCATGGGGAGGCCTATTCCAGAGGACAACCTGATTGTATCAATAAAAACCCTGCTATTGAGTACATATATTTAAAACAACAACAATGTATTATTTTTAAGGTAAATAGTCAGATAATAAAGACTATTTCTGTTTTATTTATTTATTTTTATGAGAAATAAAAGTCTTACTTGTTAATGGCAGTTTAGCAAACTAGTATACAAACCTTTCCCTGTTTGACAATGTAGTAAGGATTGGAGTTAGAAAGTCCAGCGCTCTCCAGTAGATTGAGGACTTCTGACCTTGGCACCACTTTTTTGTTGAGGAAGAATTGATCCTTCTTGGACCCAATGACCCGACGTAAGAAAATTTCATCTTTCTCAATCTATGAAATCAAAGTATATAACTCTTAGATGACTTAACTTTCCAAATAAATATTGAAATTGTAAACATCATAAATTCCTTATATTAATTATGTTTCAATTTTATCAATAAGACAACTGTGTCTTGTTTACTGAAACAATAATTAGTTACATTAGGCCCAGTGATCATAAATCTAAAACTTTTCTCCACAGAGCTTTACTACGTACACCCAACCATATTTACCGATAAAGAATATTTAATCATATCTGTTATTTTTTGTAAGTAAAGAAGCAATTTAATTTATGTGATGTTAGAAAAGTATACAATAACACTACTGTTTAGGTAATCTAAAAGCTCTCATAGAAGGACTTATCATTATCATTTTTTAATACAAGAAGAAAATACACAAAAAAAAAAACAAAATATATATGTTTCATACATACCGGTATTCTATTGTCAGAATTGTCAAATATAATTTCAACAAAAGCAGATATAACTCTTGGTCCAGTGCCTTCATGAAGCAACGCCAATCTTTGTTCAGGTCGGAGATGAGAGAATTCATCGCTCAATACAAATTGAATAGCTGTACACAAACAGACATTTTAAATCATCATATTAGTACTAAATATACAATGTAAAAGTATTAAGCTACATCAAGTATAATTATTGTCACTTGTTCTAGTTTCAGAGTAAGTGTTTTTACTATTTCGCTTATGGGCTATTTTGAAAATTATTATCAATTTAATAATATCAGAAAAACGTTTCATATAGCTCAAATGATAAACGTTTCCATATGATTTGGTCCGAGCTATGGATCAAAGAAACATCAGAACTCACGACTTTCTTACCATGGAAGAAGTTACTTTTTCCTGAGCCGTTGCGCCCAACGACTACATTATGTCGTTTGTCGAATGGCTCCACAACAATTTGCTCACGATAACTTTTAAACCCTTGAATAATCACCTAAAAAAAAGAAAAAACAGTGCATTATTACAATGTAAACTTAAACAGGCACAGTGCAGAGTAATTAGATTAGAACTGTTATAACATTTCGTAATAAACTATAATTCCAAGTAAGGATAGAAAATTAAGGGCACTACTAAATATTCACCTGTTTGATATGCATTTTTATAGATTAAAATGTAAAAAAATAACAAAATAATTAAAAGCGAAGAACTGTGACCGCCATTTCTAAACGTCAATGTCACTAATTCAGTGTCAAAAAATATTTTTTGAACATGTCAATAGTGTTGCGCAACTTCTACAACTGAACTGAGTTTACTGTGCCAGAGCTTTACAAAATATGTTGATACTCAGTGCAAACCCGAAAAAATGCACAGTAAAAGCAAACCAGCAAATCCGTAGTAAAATTTGTTGCATTTGAATGCAAAAAGGATCAAATTTAATAAAATTTGTGTTGTCCTAATTTTCAACAAAATATACAATGTACAAAAAACAGGTGCAAAACTCAAAATGTTATATTAGCTTTTACATGAGAATACTTTCAAAGCTTCCAACGTCAATTTTTTTACATTGCCTGACAAAATATATTCCTACATCTGTACATACAAGTCAGGCATCTCCTATCACTCTTGCTCATAAGGCAATAGGCTTGTGTCCTACAAGTGAAAATACAGGTTTTTGTTATATCTTCGAAAAATATGAACCATTTTAACTTATAATTGTTTAACAAAACAAATTTTAAGTCACTGATTTGGAAAATTTTACGCTTTGAAAACTTGAAAAAAGTAGAAAAAATCTACTACAAAAATTTGCTAAAATACATTAGGCATTAAATTAGATATAAAAAATGTTACAATTTTCATTATAACAACTATAAACATAAACGCACAAATAATAAAGATATTACAAAAAATGTCCAGACGCCCATACATTTTTCTCTACAGTACCACCATGTGACGTCACTTAGTGACAGGAATTTGTAGGGAGCGTTTTCGGCCAACTAGCAGCAGTTCTACAAACACAGCACCGTATCTCCGAAACTATTAATCGCAGACATGCTGTTACTTCGACATTATTTCTCAGATGTTAATGGACTATTTATTTATGAAATAAAAAAAAAGTTGGCAACTAGCCTATTGTATTAAAAATGCATGCTACATTTATAATGATGAACACAAAAATTACCTTCGAAACTCGAATCGTAAACGTGTCTTTATTTAAAAAAAATCGACTTGTGAAACATTCACATTCATTATTTATCGTGTTTGACCCGTTAACGCAACATAAGTTCGAAAAGTTGTCATTGAAATTAAATAAAAAAGAGTTTCAAGACTTTGTAATACGGAAAATAATACTTATTTTGAAGGCGGTTCATATAGGTATAAGCAACTTCCTCCAATGAAGTGAGACAATCAATGTTAATAACTTACACAAAATCTCCGCCCAACTTTAATAGAAATTATTTGAATATATGAATTACCTTAAAATAATAATTATTTTTCACAATTTCAAAGGTTTTAATTAAAATAAATATTTTTTGTAAAGATTTGATTGGTACAATTTGAATGGGCCCCGACTATGAGTCGTTCTGCTCTGTATTACTTAACAGAATTCTAAACTACTGGGCCTGTTTCTTTCTTTTTAGTTTTACTTTTAAGTTAATTTTTTCATGTATTTTTTAAGATTCGTTTTCACGAAGTCGGATTTCTTTGTTTTTTTTTAATTATTTAATTTTATTTTATACTTTTAAGTTAGGTTTGGTTGACTTCGTTATAAGTTGGTAAATTTCGGAATCTAGTCATTTCATTGAGGGAGTTAATATCGTGGGGATTATTAAGTAACTTACGGTGGTCTAAACTACTGATGATTAGTCCCTCTAGTGACCTAACTCTGCTCAAACATATGCTTTATTTTTTTACCAAAAATATTTGTTTTTCATGCTCTTTTCACATTTTTTTTTTGTTTGTATATCGTTTATATTTTAAATGAAAACTTAAATCAATAAGTAAGAAAATTAGCGGGAATGATTGTTTTGTTAAACAACCTTAAATCGTTATATATCCTAAACTATTATTTAAACTGAAAAATGATAAAAGGCACCTAAAGATGTTTTTGAAATATCTATCCAACGACACCCCACTTGATATAGTTCATCATTTTTTTTTTCATTTTGACAATATGGCGTCTGGTTGTCGCTGTGGTGAATTTTGATTACTGTCATATCTTTAGTGATATTCGCAAGGTCAAGACGAATCGATTAACGTAAGAATAATTAAAATCGGCCTACGCATTTGGTCTCTAGAACGCCAAATAGAAACAAACATACATACACAGAATGATAAACACATTACCCTCATTTGCGATGCGCAGTCGGGTAAAAAGGAAGAATCGTGTATATTATTCCTTAGGGCAAAAGTCATAAAGTGAATCTTCTCTACGTTAAGTGTCAGCACGTTTGTTTTAAGCCAAGATGTAATTTTATTGAAACCCTTCTGGGCATGAGAAAAACCTTCTTCCCAGGTGTCCCCATTAAACAGCATTGCAGTATCATCAGCATATGCGACAATCTCCATATTAGGTAGGACTAACTTTCGAAATATCGCTGACGTAAACATGTCATCTAAATATTTGTGCAATATTTGATGAAAAACATATTTTGTTTTGTTATAAAAACAAATTAACCGTTGTCGTCAAACAGTGATTGAACAGGGGGTTGTCCCCTCCTTTTCAACTTTGAAGTCGGTTAAAAATAGGTATCTAGTCTCTTTCAACTTTCTCTTAGCTTTATAGAGAACTGTTCAATTATTATTATTTTGAAACTGTATATGTTTAGAAGCAAAATAAAATACAACATAATCAATTCTTTAACAATTTTTACGTAAGACATAATTTAATACAAATAAATCCTACAATGTACAAGGATTCAAATAACATAATCAATAAGCGCAAACATGCTAATTTAACATTCACTGTGCGCAAGAGTGTGTGGCGCATCATCACAGTTTTTATTTTGTTACCTAATATACGAATCAGTATATCTGCGGCATTCACGATAAATAGTATGTTCAAGTATTAAAAATCTAATAATACTTTTATCATGATTATAAACTAAAAAAAATAAAAAAATAAAGTAAAACAATGGTTGTATCGAATGTAATTAATAATAATAAGATGCACGAATGCGATGCCAGCGATCCTTTTTCAAAACTTCAAAAGTTCGGATGTTTTCAATTTTATCAATATTTTTTATTATGTTTACCGTTATTGGTTGTATCTATGATGCATGTGAATTATGTGTTTGTCGCTGAACAAGTTAATCATAGGTAAGTGTTACTAATTTAATTATACATATTAAATATTTTTTAAATTGTTGTTTATCATGTTATAAAATATTTCTTTTTGTATTTTAAATCCATCGTTATATAATTATATCATGATCGGTCTTATAAAAAAAATTAGCTCCAAAACTTGACTTTTTATTTTGATAGCATAACATATTATAACTGGATTTTCGTAATAATTTGCAAAAACTCGTTTGAAACCCGTGTTTCTAATTTCTTGAGTAGGCTTTTCCAGTTATTGATGATTCTTTAAGATATATGTAGATGTGTAGATATTAGGATGAAATCTTTTTTACGATCGTGGAAACAGGGTGAAATACGGATAGTGATAGCTGAGTGAAATTTTAGTAGCGCTACTTTTGAGAGTAGGTACAGGTACGGTTATCGTAAATTATAACCAAATTAGAAACCAAATGGAAAGTTGTTTTGCTCCGCTATATTTTATTTAAAACTTATAAAGTAAAATAGGTTCCAATTCCAATAAGCATAATAACACACAATTAATCGAAAAGGCCATAGTAGTCTAGGGTTATCAACCTCACTATATTACACTATGTGTAACTACGTCATTACCTGTCCCAATCGGTGGATCTTATATTTATAACACCCATCGATTGGGACTTTCATCACTATTTCACTATCAGGTATTTACCTGTTCACCCATCCTATTACTGAACTTTATATCGCAGACCGAATGATCAATCAAGCCTCTCACGTACCTTTTAGCATTTAAAATCTTATAATTCAGATTACGCCTCCTATGTACAGAATACGTATTCCTATATCTACTTTGTGTTTTCCCTCTCCTCCATGTCCGAGTACGCCATGTAATTTCACGCCAGTTTCAAGGTATCGACATCTCTGTAGTCCCAGTCCTAGATTCGATTCCTAGTCGAGCTAATATGGAAAATGTACTTTTATATATTGTATTATATATGAGCGTTGTAGTACCTTAATTGTTCCGGACTTCCAAAATAAAAGTGCTTCTCCAATAACTTGTACAGTAAATTTATATTTTCCATTCCTGTGGCATCCCTATCACTCCTCTGTAGACGTACGTCACCTTGCGACGGTTAACCAATCGGCGCCTACCACACTATAAGAAATTAACCTGGTTACTGGTAGTTCACTCAGTAGCGGACTGACCGCATAGGAGGCCCGGGGGGCGGCAATAGGCCTGGATCGACAACTTTTTCCAACCGAGCCACATTCTTGATATTGCTTGTTATACCCCGCCTACCCCGCGCGCATACATTTTTAAATTTATATGTTATTATGATTTTGGCGGAAAACTGAAGCCATTTGGAGGTCCCCCTATAACCGGAGGCCTGGAGTGGACCTCCCCTCCGCCCTAGTCCGCAACTAAATCAAAATCAAAATTTATTTATTCAGTTTAGGCTTTTACAAAGCACTTGTGAAAGTCGAAAACTACGCCATCGGTTTGCAAAACTACGGCGGGAGACCTTGTACTGAGAAGAACCGGCAAGAAACTCAGCAAGGGCTGTTTTTTTTTCTCCCTGTTTTATTTCACACAGAGAAGTCTTATTGAAAAGTGACTTCATTAAAATATGAAGTCACTTTCCATTACAATATTAAAGTAAATACAATAAAGTTAAAATATCTATCACCATGTCTTTTTGTCATTTAGATATTCCTTAACGGTATAATATCCTTTACTTTGTAGACAACTTTTAATATGACTTTTAAAATGATTTATTGGCAAATCTAATACATCACTGGGGATCTTATTAAAGTATAGTATACCTTGACCCATGAAAGAACCTAATACCTTCTGTAACCTGTAAGAAGGCATTAAGGCATTATTGTTTTTATTTCTAGTATTAAGTTTGTGTACATCACTATGTTTGGTATACACATTAATATTGTTCCGGACAAAAAGTATACAACTATATACAAATTGAGATGCAACCGTCAATATTCCAATTTCTTTAAATTTCTCTCTAAGAGATATTCGCGAGCCCAACTGATAGATAGATCTTATTGCCCTTTTTTTGTAAAACAAATATAGACTGAATATCGGCTGCCGTTCCCCACAATATAATGCCATAGGACATGATACTGTGAAAATAACTAAAGTACACTGTCCGGGCAGTTTCTATATCCGGTAATTTGTCTTATTTTTCGTATGGCATAAGTTCACTAAATAATTTCCAATTTGATGAAATTGAAGTTTCTATGGTGTAAATGGTTCCAAACCCCTGGAATTTACTAGAGATTCTTTTGGCATCGGCGGGCAATCTATAGTCTGCTATTATTATATAAGTAATGCGAAAGAAGGAATGTTATTTAATTTCATGAGACCCCGTTTAGGTGATTCGCAAGCTAAGCATAACAAAACCAAAATAACCCTCATCTACTTTCGTATTGTATTCGTACTAGAGATAGTGTTTATAAATTTATTCTTTGTTAATTTACAGATGCAAAGTTCCTGAATGTGATATTGCCAATCCTGTAGTAGATATTCCATCATGGTGGCCCAAGAATGTTGATCCAAAATGTTACAAACCAATCCTTGATATAAAAAAATACCAAGCAAATAATAATACTTGTTCTGATGTAACTTTTCTTGAACAAATTGAAAAATGTAATTCATGGATATTTGAAAATCATAATTCGATTATATCTGAGGTGAGTCGGCAAATGATAGATCGAGAGATCTTAATGGAATATAAATACCTACATTACATATCCCATATTGGGTTGAATGGTGGATTAAAAAAGTTCAAATATAATTAAATCAATTAATATAAATATAATAATAATTGACAACGAATATAAAAGAATACATTATTTGTTTCGGGTTAAGCTATAATATTAATGTTTATTAAAAAGTAAGCTTATTAAACACAGGCTTAAATTTATTTGCAAAGATATTTCCAGCACTTGCGGTGGCATAATATAAGAACAATATTTAATAAATGATAGTTAAACAAACGTCAAATGAAAATTGTTTGCTTAAAGGTTTTATAATTGCTATTCTTAGCACTTTATAATAGATTGGCAGACATCAAATATTGTTTTAGTTATTAAGTTTGATAGTGTGTCAATAATCTTATTTGGCTTAAAGATTTTTCTTTGAACGTAGATATTACTGGTTTATCAAAAGACCAAATAAATAAATTGCCGGTAATATTTATGTAAAAAATATCTCAATCTAAATATCTATAGATGAGTTTGTCAAATAATAATTATATATTAAATATTTGAGTCAAATATATGCAAGTGCATGTATGTTAAAAATGGGACTATTTATACATACATGCATGGGCCTAGAAATGTATTTTTTTTAAGTTTTCTATAACATAATTTTTTTATTTCAATTTGGTTGAAATAATTAAAAATAAGGCTTACCAACAGACAAACTAAAATACAGATGCATAGTTTTAATTCAATTAATATTTGGAAGAATAATTAAATTTTTGCTACAAACTTCCATATTCGATCAAATGGAACTCTTCTTATTCCAGCTAAACCTTGGCTGTGATTCATGGAAAGTATCTTTAGTTGGCAGTATACACAACGCTGGCATGATTGTTTCGATGATGATCACTGGATGGATTGCAGATAAGTAAGAAATAGAAAAAAGTGAATAAGTTTATATTGTTGACTAATAATAAGAAAAGAATACACAATCTACTGTATTTATTTACTTTATTATTAAACTAAGTTGGTAATCATTCATATCAACGTTTATACTGCATTTCTCGTAATTATAATCATAACATTATGTTTATTGTTTGTTTTTCAGGATCGGAAGAAAACCCACTGTAATAATTTGCTCCATTGGAGGTTTCGTGGGGATGTTTAAAATATTTGTCACCAACTACTACACCTATATAGCCTTAGAATTTTTGGAATCTGTCTTAGCATCAGGACTGTATACTGTTGCAGTTGTTTTATGTAATACTTCTAGCTAGATATTATTTACATACATATCCTTTTCTCTTTGCTTTTTATACTTATTGAAAACGATGCTTTATTACCATTTCAGTAATTGAAGTTGGAGGAGAAACTAAGAGAGTTTCTACGGGTGTTATATTCTCATATGCAGTTTACATGGGTGAAATAAGTTTCGCTTTATTAGCGATGGGATTTAAATATTGGAAATATCTTATTTTATTAGTATACACTCCTTCAATATTGTTTATTTCGTTTACAATCTTCCTAAGAGAAAGCACAAGATGGCAAATTCTGCATGGTAGAATGGATGATGTGAAAAAGACGTTTAAAATTACTTCAAAAATGAACGGTCTTCACTTGCCTCAAGAAACAATTGATGCATGGAGTGACGTTGAGATTAAATCAAAGTATAACTTAGAAATGCAGATAGAAAAAGAAACTATGAAAGATGTGATACGATCAAAGGAAATTTTAACGCGATTGGCAGTGACTTCCTTTTGTTTTTTCACTTCTAGTTTTCTTTATTATGGATTGATTATTCATTCAGTTCTGTTACCCGGCGATAAGTATACTAACTTTATTTTGACCTCAGTCGTTTCTTTCCCTGGGGATCTGTTGGCGTATTACACTATGAATTATATTGGAAGAAGAATCACTTTACAGTGTGGTTACATAATAACTGCAATATTTTTGTTAGCGCAGATATTTTCACCTGATCGTAAGTATTAGATATAATACAATACAATTAATTTAACAATCTTCCAATTTAGCTAAGAATTTGTAATATATTTAATTGATCACTTTAAATTTTTATTTTTATGTAGTCATTTTAATGAGCGATATTATATCAAGAGCTTTATTTTATTATATGATAATATTATTGTTGTTTTTTAGATATGTTCTGGCTCAAAATATTCTTATTCCTGGTTGGCAAATTTGGAGTCGTAATTTGTTTTACGGGAATATATACTTATAGCCTGGAATTATTTCCAACGAGCGTAAGGGGATCTCTATTGGGATGGGGGAATACTGCAGCAAGGGTCGGAAGTATGTTGGCTCCATTGACGTCACTTTTGGTGAGATTTTTATCAAAATTAAAATATAGTAAGTAAACCGAATACATTTCGAATCGGTTTTGATATGTCAGATGTACGATTGCGATTTTTTTAAGGGTGTTTTCTTGTTGATCGCAGGCGTTTTCACTTATGTTATTTTCTTGTAAAAATGTATTTGCCTAAGAGAATTACAATAAAATATACTATAATATATATTCATCGTATTAAGATAGTTTCACGGGTTCAAAACGTAAAAATTGACGAAATAGGTACAGAAAAGATTAACATTATATATATATTTCTTCATTTCAGATGTCGCAGATGACTTCTTTACCTTCGATATTGTTTTCTTTGACGGCGATTTTATCAGCTATATTTTTGATATTTACACCAGAAACGAAAGTCATGCCCTTATTCGATACAATAGCACAAGTGGAAGCCAACAAAAGAAAAAACTCAGAAATTTGTACCCATTTGTAATGTGCATTTTTAGTAACTAAATATTATATCTATAAAAACAATTAGTGGATTCTATTAAAGTGCTTTTAAATAAGTTTATGTGAATAAATAATATGCGGAACATGACTTTGATTCGAGCAAAAAAATTAAAGTCAATTGTTGTCAATAATCTTTATTACTATTAATCGAGGCCATTGATGTAATGTAACGATTTTCAATTCTTAAAGTTCGCTAGACCTGGTTTATACGACAATTTATGAAAAAGATAGTTTTTATAGTGTCTCCGGTGTATTGTCTTTTTTCTTGCCAAGAAGTTCCTGAAGTTGTGAAGGTAATGTCACTCACCACAATCTAATTTAAAGTCTAGGTAATTTACTGTTTTCTTAGTTGTTATCGTCCCACATCGTGACTGTAATCATTTAAAAAATAAATACGACTAAAATAATGAAATAATGTCTTTATTTTTAAATAGACTTTAAACCTAAAAAAGTGAGAAATAACACATATCTTAAAAGCGACGTAATTATAAACACATCGATCTGATTCCGAGGTGTTTGTCTTGGGTGGGGATCGAACCCACGACTCTCAGCGCAATAGTAGGAACCTTACAACCACACCGTTGAGCCCGTCCAAATGATTGATTATGACTATGATTTACACAGGCGAAGTCGTGGTAAAACAGCTAGTTTTATAGACATTTATTTATTCTTAATTCACAAAGAAATTGGTGAACATACCTACTTACATAACCGTATACATACTCGTTTGAACAAAGAAAATCTTTCTTTCGGAGTTTGAATGAGTGAAAAATACGCAATTTTTCGTCATGTGATCTAAATATTTATGTGATATTCAGTGAAAGCATATTGTGTTTTGGTATGAAAACAAAACTACCAATCGATTTCAATAAAACTCAAGACATTACTCGTGTATATAAACTGTCCTATAAAAAAGAATTTTGTAAATCGGTCAACAATTGATTCAACAAAAAATGAGATACATCGCCGTCGAACATATAACCTTTAACTCGATTTTAAAGTCATTTAAAAATATTGCTTCTTGACACGAACCACGTTTAGATTTTATCTATTAATACACTCAAATTTATTAATGATAAATGTTTTTTATTCTTTTAATATTTAAATAATGATAATATAATTTATTCGATAATATCAATAAGTACAGCAGAATGATTGCAAAATTGATTAAACATAATTACGAATGAATTTTTACGTGTAATTTAATAGAAAAATTGTTGCGCCAAAAACCTGCTTCATTTGGCAAGGTGTTCATTCAGCAAAAAAAATATAGAATGAATGAATGAATTAATAAATAAATATATACTTTATTGCACATTAACACGTGAACATAAAAACACATATAATTAGAAACAGATACAAAAGGCGGCCTTATTACTAAGGTAGCAATTTCTACCAGGCTACATATATTCGAATCTCTTAGATCTATAGATTCGAATCTCATCCTGCTACAAACTAATTTGATATGGTTGAACATTTAAGTTTGTTATAAACATTTAACATTTAAGTAAAATCAACTGCATTGGTCTTGTAAGATTTCCAATCAAATCAAAATTGTTTATTCAGTTTAGGCTTTTACAGAGCACTTGTGAAAGTCGAAAACTACGCCATCGGTTCGCAAAACTACGGCGGGAGACCTTATACTCAGAAGAACCGGCAAGAAACTCAGCAAGGGTTGTTTTTTTCCTCCCTGTTTTATTTCACACAGAGAAGTCTTACTGAAAAGTGACTTCATTAGAATATGAAGTCACTTTCCATTACAATATTAGAAAGTTAAATACAATAAAGTTAAAATATCTAACACCATGCCTTTTTGTCATTTAGATATTTCTAAACGGTATAATATCCTTTACTTTGTAGACAATTTTTAATAAGCCTATTAAAATGATTTATTGGCAAATCTAATACATCACTGGGGATCTTGTTAAAGTACTGTATACTTAAGGTATATACCCATGAAAGAACCTAATACCTTCTGTAATCTGTAAGAAAGCATTACTAGCTTGTTTTTATTTTTAGTGTTAAGTTTGTGTACATCACTATGTTTGGTATACTCATTAATATTGTTCCGGACAAAAAGTATACAACGATATATAAATTGAGACGCAACCGTCAATATTCCAATTTCTTTAAATTTCTCTCTAAGAGATATTCGCGAGCCCAACTGATAGATAGCTCTTATTGCCCTTTTTTTGTAAAACAAATATAGACTGAATATCGGCTGCCGTTCCCAACAATATAATGCCATAGGACATGGTACTGTGAAAATAACTAAGGTACACTGTCCAGGCAGTTTCTATATCGGTAATTTGTTTTATTTTTCGTATGGCATATGCAGCCGAACTGAAACCAACTGATACAGAAATATGCGGGTTCCATTACAGTTTAGAATCTAGTGTTATCCAAAAATTTTGTTGAACTTACTAACTCTAAATGTTCGTTGTCGAGTTTAATTTCAGTTGGTTCTTCTTTTACATTAGGTAAAGTGAATTTTATACATTTGGTTTTTTTAGCATTCAATTGAAAATTATTAACTGTGAACCAAGATAACACTCGTGAGAGAGCATTGTTTACATCGTCAAAATTATATTTATTTCTGTCAATGTTATATATCAATGAAGTGCCATATGCAAACAACACGAACAACACTGTAACTAATTATGTAATAAATAAGTCGGTAAGTAGTTCGTAATGTACTCCAGTTCCGATAATAATAATATACCCACCTACTGGACTCTGTGAGAAAACCATAATACCATTGAAGTATTTTTCATATAGTGTTAGTTTTATTTTGTTACTTTCAATTCATATGTACTATAAAATTTGTCAAAATTTTATTTATTTAAGTCATGTAACGTGTATTGAATAGAGTTTATTAGTAAAATATTGCTTAACGTTTGTAATTTAATTTTCATCCTGTGCCTTGTGTCTGGCACCGACATTCTCTTTGATTATGAAATATTTTTTTATCAATCTAGTCACTTATTTATCAGTCTGTTACTTAGACTGTTAACGTTAAATAGGAACAAATAGCTAAGCTTACAGTTTCAAAGATAAACGTGGATCTATGTGGCGCTGTTGAGCTGAGTCCTTCTAGGTTTATTTAATCCCCTATATATTAGTCTAGGATATTAAGGGGATAATACGCTAATATTTATAAAGATAATACATACAATGTCCCTTACATTATGTCACTGCAGTGCTGACGTTGTTCTAGCAGTGTCACGGTATATATTCTAAACTATTGTCTTTTGTCTACGCAGGATAATGCATAGATATTCTTAGTCATATTATTTAAGCATGAATTCATAAGACTTTGAAACTTTTGATATTCTTTGAATTTCCATCGCTCTAAGATATGACGCCAACCCAGCAGCGTCACAAAGACCCTTTTTTACCTCTGTAACTACGTGACTTGGTTGTTGGTCCCTATTTCGTAAAGAATTGATAAAAAGGGATTAGAATGGTCAAGAATCTATTTCATTTCAAAATCCATAAAGGTGGCCTCGTACTGATTTTCTTTACGACGTAAACAAATTAATTGAAATTGATCTGAGGCATAAATATATAAAATAATAAAAGAAAAAAGTACTTAGACTAAGTAATTTACGTGTAAATAACGATTATTTAGTGATAAACAAATGAACTGAGTTGGTACAGTGTAGTCAATGCATACTACATAGGGTTGTTCTGCGATACATGTGAGGTTAGTACCTACCTACTTATAGTCTGTGGAGTGGGTAACCACAGATAAAATTAGATGCAAAAAGGGATGTAAGTGAGCACAGAAATCGATGTGTGATTCGAGTAAATAGAAAAAAATGATTATTACATATTAGGGGCTAAAGTATGAAATTGCAGTTTTATTGTAATAGGTTTCTTGAATGAGGAAGTATTTAAAAAAAATTAGTTCATGATTTCACACTAGTTGTCACTAGCGATGTTTGGACCTTGTCTATAATGTTCATTCAAATTTTGTTTCTTAACGTAAAAAAAGTAAATTGAGTATCGAAATTTCATAATAATATGAACTATGTTCATAAAAATAAATCGGCAATTTCATACTTTAACCCTTATTATAACACAAACGAAATTTCGGCATATTATTAGCGTAGTACTTTGTAATTGACTGTATCGAGAGTCTTGTCAATTGTGACTTTTCAGACAATAGGAACGACAAATCTAATGATATGGGACTTCAGGTAGATGGTACAATCGTAAAATGAAAGTCGTTGAGATTCCATTGAGATGTGATTGTAACGTAAACATGAGCAGATTGGCCTGTAGGCCTTGCACAGCTTGCACAGCTGTGTAGTTCTGGTATTTTTAGACAAAAAATAGTTTTTTGACATCTAGCGGATACTAAAAAAAAATATATATACGTATCTAGCTGAATTGTAAAGATTGTCTAGAACAGAGGTCATTGCTAATCTTTTACTAAACCGAGCTATCGATATTATGATGTACCAACCAAGTGATATTATTAATAACATTCGTTTAGTTTATCTATCGATAGTGGACACTTAAACGCAACACTGACATAACCTATTTGTCAGTTTGTCTTTCTTTCCTTTGATATTTTCATAGAGTAAATGTCACAAGTAAATGTGTTCTGTGATTTGCATTGAGTTTTATTGAGGTCTAAATTTTTATTATTTAGCCTACCACTATTAAGTTTATTAAGAGACTTACATTATTAACAATGGACGGATTTGAAATACGGACCAGCAATAGCAAAAAGGTAGGAAATTATATTTGTAATCATGAAAGAGTTTGGTAGAATGAATTAGAGTAAGTATTAATCCATAATTTTTCAGGGAAAAGGATTATTTGCGACTAAAAAATACGAACAGGGTGCAATCATATTAGAAGAGGATCCATTGGTGTCGTGCCAATTTGCTTGGAATGCTGCTTACAGATACTTAGCTTGCGATTATTGTATGAGGTTAGTATTTGAATTTCTTTGTAAATTATTAACTAAATTGATGTAATATCTTTTCTTGTTGTGTTATTTCAGACCATTAGAGACACCTGAACAAAATGTTAGACGTCTGTCATGTAAGCCGGACATTGTGTTGCCCCATTCTAATTGCTTTGAAACAAATTTGGAGAGTGTTACAACATGCAATCAGTGTGCTGTGCTTTATTGTTCAGAAATATGCAGAATAAGAGCATATGACACTTACCATAGGTTACTCTGTTATGATACCAGTGATGCTCAACATCCAATAACTGTGTTGTTGGAGGCTTGGAAGTAAGTAGAATTAGAAATTGTATCAGCTTAAAATTATATAATTTTTGAAAGAAAGGTTTCTATAATCTTATAAATTACCACTGGTTCCTAAAATTTCAAAGCTTTCATAGCTGCTAGTCATATGTTAGGCCACCTAAAATTTACCATTAAGCTCTTTACTTCAGAAGGCATGTTAAGCCTTTGTCCTGGCAGCATCTATAGTAGTTTAAAAAACTTGAACGACTATGATATAGCTAGTTATAGTTAAGAGAAACCTCTGATATTTAAGCAAAATTGAATATCAGAGGTTTGTCTTTAGTTCGCTATCAAAGGTCGGTGTTAAATTTTTTTTTTTTTTAATTCTAATTGGTTTACAATTGAATTAAATTTATTTATTTTACATCTAAAATTGAATTTGTAGATATCTTTATAATAGAGTAAAATACTTGTAGTAAAATTTTCAAACTGTTATTTCAGACAAATGCATTATCCTCCGGAGACAACAAGCATCATGTTACTAGTAAGAATACTGGCCTACATAGAACAAAGTTCAGATCCGAGTCGAGCTGCATCTCATATCAAACAGTTTTGTCATCGTACAGTGAATGAAGATGCTGAGTTAGTTCATAAACTGCTAGGGGAACAATTTACTGATCAGATTAACACCTTAAGAGATCTAACCAGTAATGTGATAAATGGTGATCATGTACAGGAGGTAAGGATCTGTCTAAGTAGGCAGTAATTTTTTTGTTTCTATAGATATGTTGACTAATCTTGAGTAAAGCAAGACGTCTATTCCCAACCTTATGAAGCTGCATTAAAATAGGAACAGACAGCAATAAGATTTAAAAAAATATAAAATGCCTTAAATTTTCCACTATTAGATGCTTCAATTCGTCCGTTGTGCTTGAAATTTTGCTGTCTTACTCCAGTCAACCCAGCTCCATTCAAAAGTTTTTATTATTTCTAACCTTTTTTTTTATATTTTTAGTTTCTAACCCCAGAAGGATTCTGTTCCCTCATGGCTCTGATTGGTACAAATGGACAGGGCATTGGCACCAGTCCTTTAGCTATGTGGGTAAATGCAGTGCTGGAACTCACAATGTCTGATGATGAACGACAGCAAATTGATTTGTTCATTGATAAACTGTACCAATATGTTGAAGAAGGTAAATCAAATCTTCTTACTATGCATTTAAATCTCAGTTTGTCTATTTTCATCTAATATTATGGGATGAAAATATAATTTTGATAATCTTAGTTTTAATTTATGAAGATATCAAGTATTGTCACATTTAAGTTTGGGTTTCAATATAGTGCTTTTAGTAATATCAAGAATTTTGGCAATTCTCACACATTTTTATATGCTAGTACTGACAGAAAAAGTTTTCTGGATTACTGGGAGTTCTAAAAACCCCTAATAAACTGAGAGAATATGGAAAAGGATACCCAGCTTAAAAAAAAAGCCAAACAACCAATGCATTGGACTAAAAACCATTTGTATGTCTGGTGTACTCTGAAACAACAGGGAGTAGAGGATTCTTATGTTGATGTATCATCAAAAATATATGCCTCGAGAGCAAGAATTGTATAAAATTTGAATTATGTGGTGATCTTTTCCCTATAAACAGAGGGGTTAGACAAGGAGATTTGTTTTCTCCTAAACTGTTCATTGCAGTGATGAAGAATAGAAAATAGAAAATAAATGGCAGCCATTTAAATCATTTATGGTTTGCTGACAATATAGTCCTGCTAGAAGAAGATCTTTACATGCTAAATATCATGGTAGAAACCCTAGTACAAAAATAAAGAATTTGGACTTGAAATAAATCATCATCATCATCATCATCAGCCGGAAGACGTCCACTGCTGAACATAGGCCTCCCCCTTTGAACTCTACGACGGACGACATTGCGCCAGCTGTATCCAGCGGCCGCCCGCGACTCGGACGATGTCGTCCGTCCATCTATCTAGTCGGGGGTCGACCCACGCTGCGTCTTCCGGTTCGTGGTCTCCACTCGAGAACCTTTCGTCCCCATCGGTTATCGGTTCGTCGAGCGATGTGGCCTGCCCACTGCCACTTCAGCTTACAAACTTTGCGAGCTATGTCGGTCACTCTAGTTCTTTGGCGAATATCCACGTTTCGGATCCTATCGCGCAAAGAAACCCCTAACATAGCTCTCTCCATGCCTCGCTGAGCGACTCTGAGCTTCTCTAAGAGGCCAGCAGTTAAGGACCACGTTTCAGTGCCATAGGTCATTACTGGCAACACACACTGGTTATACACCTTCGTCTTTAGGCTCTGTGGTAATTTGGACGTGAAGATATCGCGTAGCTTCCCGAACGCTGCCCAGCCGAGTTGGATTCTTCGAGCGACCTCTTTGTCGAAATTGGATCTACCTAACTGGATTGTCTGTCCAAGGTACACGTAGTGATCGACAACTTCGAGAGTATCAGTTCCAATGAACACCGGTACGGGTGCAACATGGACATTCGACATGATTTTCGTCTTGTTCATGTTCATTTTAAGACCCACCTGATTGGAAACGATACTCAGGTCGCTGAGCATTGTACTGATGTGCTCCATCGATCTTGCCAAGATGACTATATCATCGGCGAAACGAAGGTGAGTGATGTATTCGCCATTGATGTTGATGCCGTATTCGTCCCATTCCAAGAGCTTGAAGACGTCCTCCAATGCATTCGTGAACAGTTTCGGAGAAATGACATCTCCCTGTCTCACGCCTCTGCGCAATTGGATTGGTTTCGTGCTCTCTTCCTGGTAGCGAATCGACATTGTGGCGTTGCTATACAAACGCTTCAACACTTCGACGTACCTGTAGTCGATTTGGCATCGTTGGAGGGACTGTAGTACTGCCCAGGTTTCGATTGAATCGCAGGCTTTCTCATAGTCCACAAACGCTAAGCAAAGTGGCAAATTATACTCCTCGGTCTTCTGTATAATCTGCCGCAGCGTATGTATGTGGTCTATGGTGCTAAAGCCTTTTCGGAAACCGGCTTGTTCGGGAGGCTGGAAGTCATCAAACCGGCGTTCGAGACGATTCGTAATGACCCTCGAAAACAGCTTATAAACGTGGCTCAGAAGCGAGATTGGTCTATAATTCTTCAACAAGGTCTTGTCACCTTTTTTGAAGAAGAGCACAACCACGCTTCTGTGCCACGCTTCTGGCGGCGTCGACCCACCCTCAACTCATCGCCGTTCGAAGCGCCCAGCTTCGCGTTGAAGTCCCCCATTACAACGGTGAAGTAGGTATTAGTCGTATGTATGGCTTCAGAAATCTCCTCATACATAACCTCTACCTCATCGTCGGAGTGTGAAGAGGTCGGGGCGTAAACCTGTATGACCTTCAGCGAATACCTTTCGGTAATTCTGAGTATAAGGTACGCCACTCTGCTCGACACACTATCGATCTTCACCACGTTGTTCACGAGGGACTTGTGAACGAGAAACCCAACACCACCTTGAGATTTTTGATCTCCTTCCCGGAAGAAGAGCATGTTACCGGACTCAAGGATTACCGTATCCTGGCCCTCTCTTCGGATTTCGGATAATCCCACTATGTCCCATCGCAACTTGCTCAATTCTTCCTCCAGCTCTAATAGCTTCATGTCAGTCCTCAGTGTGCGGACATTGTATGTTGCCAGGGCCAGAGTCCGTTTGTGTTGGTAGCGCCTAATCTGCCGGAGACTCTTAGCACCCCCTGCCCCTCCGTTACCTGTCCCGTTACCAGAGACAGGAATAGAGGGGCTGCCGGGAACTGGGGGCCGTACATCATTGTCGTCCATCATGAGGGGGGGGGGGTTGCCATAATCCCCACGCTTGGCAGGCGACTTGGGGATCGCAGTAGGTGGTGGTAGATGATACCGGGAGGCGCTGCTGCCCGCCTTCCGTATAATCCCTCTGTCGGCTCCTACGACACCCACGGGAGGATATGGGGGGGTGCTACTCTTAGGCCGGCACTCCACGGCCATGAAATAAATATAGAGTAGATATTGTACTGATTACATCATGTTCAGTAGTACATACTCCTTAACATAAACATACCTTTAGTATGTATTATATTGAACATCTGGGTTAAATAATATCACTAAAAGACCTTATGTCCAGAGAAGTTGACGTAGAATAGCCAATGGCTGGAAGAAATATTGGGCACTAAAGGAAATTATGAAGAAAAGTAAACCAGCATCAAATTTAAAAAGTGGGAAGTAATACATATGTCATAAGCGACTTATTCACGAAAATGCTATTAAAGTTGGGTGAAGGTTTTGTGAAGGTTATAAATTAAATGATTGGCGCCCGACTTCAACAGCATTTTCTTGAATAATTCGTTTTTTAGATAAGTATAATTTTTAACTTTTTTTTAAGTTTAAAGTTGGTGCTAATTTTTATAAAGCTTCTATTTTACACTTTTTAGTGATACTAATATTTTTTATATACCTAATTGGTAACACTAAAAACAACAACAAACTTGTTAAAGTACGAACCTCCATTTTTATAGTCGGTTATTATATCTCCAACGTCTGACAAATACTATGCTGAAAATCGCATCAAAATAGGTTCAGCCAAATGCCAGATAATCGCGCACAAACACATACATACAGGTCAAACTGAGAACCTCCTTTTTTTTGAAGTCGGTTGATAAAGCACTAAATATACATACTAAAACAAAGACATTCAACACATGTTTAACTTATGTCTGCAAAACCTGGTTCCTTACAACCAACCACAGAGAATAACTGGTAAGGTGTCAAAGAGCGATGGAGCGAAGTATGCTGGGTGTAAAGCTCCAAGACAAGATTAAAAATACAACTATATGCAGTAGATCTATAGTGGTTGATATCTAACAAAACGCAAAGATAATCTAGAATGGGAATGGATCGGACACATGCTACGCAGTCCAATAGAAATGTGGAGAAAATGGATCACCTTATGTTATCCAAAGAGTTGTGTTAGGAAACAAGAACGCCCAAACAGAAGGTGGGATCTGCTAGATCCTGGGACCATACTGGATGAGAGTAGTGGCAGATTGAGATTACTAGAAGCAGCTGGAGGAGCCCTATGCTCTAACCCTTTTTAAGGCAGAGGCGATATATTTACCACCAACAAAAATTTTGCTTATCTTTCTATGTGAGTTATCAAAGAAGTCCTAATTTGTTGCACTAGCAACTAAGGAGGTATGCCTTATTATTATTAAGAAAAAAAATGACGTTTGTGTGACATATTTTTTCTTGGCACCACTAGCTGTCAAAAAATTGCGCCAATTTTGAAAGAAAATTTGTTACTCCGCGAAACTTCATATTTTTTATTTGAAAAGAGGTAAGAATCTGTTTTTTTATTATGTATTTTTGTTTATTCTTCAAGTTGTTTGCTATACCTTAGAAGTTACTATCGTATTTAGATGTGAGAGGACTTTTTACTTGGTGGGAAAAATATTCCCGCTGCCCGTGGCGTGTTATATACACTTGTTGTACTAGTTCCTTCTTTTCTCAGGTTTTTATGAAAAATGCCGCGTTATTTTAATGAAAACGATATTGAAAAGACATTGGAGCAGATTTTCGGCATTCCCGATGATGGCTCAGAAGACGGATTTGAGTCTGATGAGGCAGAAGAGTTCAACGTGAATACAATACAACGGTTACTTGAATCAGATGATGATTCTAGTAACCTTTTACAAAATTGTCCTGCTCATTTGAATTCTACCCCTAATAACAGTTCAGAGTCAGATACATCTACAATAGCACTATGTTCACAATTAGATAACTCGCAGCCAGAAGAGCAATGATATTAATATGTCTAGATACGCAATACATACCAAAAATCTGAAGCTACTAAAACTAAGACGTTTGTCTTAGTTTTTTCATTTTGCACTTCATTACTCATTCAACTCCCGCCAAGAAAGTACAAAAAAATGCTCCGTAAAAACAAAGAAAAACAGTAGATAAAATTCGATTCTCTTTCACAAATACACATAATACGAAATAATATTAAGTTTTACACTTAAGTCATTAACATTTTTGGCAATAAATACAAAATTAAAGCTAGGTTATAAAATAAAAACATTTAATTTTTTTCAAATAAAATTTCGACATTTTGTCGTCAGTGTTGCCACTGCTATTCACTTTCAATTTTCCCAAGTATATGGGAACCTTTTCTTTTTAATTAACGTGGCTATAATTTATCTAAATATCTTTTTATAATTAATTATATAGCTCAGCTTAAGTATAGGCAACTGCGCTAATTCTGTTGATAATTTTTTTATTCATGCACACAGATGCTAATGTGGTTTAATTTTTTCAATGCGTGGAATAATTCGTTAGTTGTCGAGATACAACTTTTACGTAAAATTGTTTGTTTGATGATTTATGAACTTTAACAAATGTTTTTGTCGTAACCGCTAACTTTATCGAAAAACAAAGGGATATATATGCACAGAGCCTAATTTCGTAATTGTTTTTTTTTCAAAGATTTTGCAAATAATTTTTTCAAAGTTACAGTATTTTACTAATTGATTTTATACATATATCTACACTACTCGTTCATTCATTCATTCATCACAATGGGTGAAATTTTCGACAGCTGGCAATGCAATATCAACAATTGGCGGCCTTATTACTAAAAAGTAATTTCTTCCAGGCAACCTTTAACAACAAACAGCAAGAAAATAATTACAAAATTTAGAAAATTTAAACAATTATGCTATCGCTACTGAGTTCGCATGACGACTGCGTGATCGTTAGAGGTATTGAGTTAGGTGTCACGTCAATATACATTTTTTTTTAATTTTCAGAATCTGGCACATTCCTCAATACAGAAGGCTCTGGATTGTATCAATTACAAAGCGCATGTAACCATAGCTGTGCACCGAATGCTGAGTCTTCATTCCCATACGGCAACCACAGGATTCAACTGAAGGCTTTGAAGCCTATCTTGCCTGGGGACGAGATATGCATAAGTTACTTAGACGATTGCACACTACAGAGGTCGAGGCATTCAAGACAGAAAGTAAGATTTAATATTTGTTAATTATCATATATAAAGTTATCCTTTAGACTCTGTCACGAGATTCTGATATTGCGTGAATTTTGAGTATATAGCGTAGATTTCACTTGAGGCTAATTTACATTGGCACGATTTCTGCTATCATCTTTGGCATCATCAGGCTTTCCTTATAAATGGTTAAGGAGGACCCTGGCCACGCTGGCCAACAGCTTAACTTGCCTTCCGAAACACGCAGTAGCTTGAGATATTAGTATTTGAATAAGAAAAATGTACTTCAGTATTCAGAGTATTATAGAGTTCTAAATGTATCTTCGTTTCCTATAGGAGCTGGCACAGAACTATTTGTTTGTATGTTGTTGTGAACGTTGCAACGAACAGTGTTCACAGCCAGATTGCACCAGCGAAGAGGATATGAGCGAAGACGATGCTGATGACTGATGTTCCAATCTCCTCGCCTTCTGTCTGCTGGGCGTGTAATATTATATATTTTGATTGTCAAAGACAATTATAAGGACTTGAGATGTAACCAGGCTGAGTATCATTTATTAATAATATTATCAGGAGACCTTGTTTGAATTTATAACGGTTTAAGGTTTCGGACAACCCCGTTGAATAATTTGTGATTTAATATTGTCATTGGTGTTCCAAAATCGGTTATCAGCCAATTAAAATTGAAAGGTTGTTCTCAAGTCCTTTTACTTCTTAATTTTTAATAACAGTGGACATGGACTGCATATATTATTTTAAAATCTTAGTGGAGTGAGTGATTCTGTGATCAAATTTATTAGTAAATTTGTGGGACACTGGTTCTATAAGTATACGAATATAAAGAGTATAATCTCGTACTAGACATGCTGGAGATGGACTATTAAAATCAATATCGTGCCCTGTCTTACCCGAATAGTATGCTTTAACAATTTTTTTACACAGTCATGTTATCCAAAACCATAAAATATTAATAGTTTTCGTAACCTGATTTGCTTAATGTGTTTAATACTTATATGAATCTTTTTTTTTGCAAGGAAAGGTCAATGGGTTAAAAGCCCATGGACAGAAATGAAATTGTGGAAATATATATCTAGTTCATTCTCTTTAAGTTCATCACTGTTAGGTCGCTAGGGTGTAGTTTGTCGGACTTCAGAAAAAAAAAAATTAAGACAACCTAAGCTTCATTTAAAGGCTTCATTTAGACAGATCAATCAAGACTTCAGTTACACGGTAGAACGTAGGTCAGATTAAGAAGAAAGATTTTTCCATGTTTATTTTTGAAAAATTTGCTGAGAGACAGAAAGTTCGTATTTCGTTATACGTGGGACCAGTGCCAAAGCAGATTATGCGAAAATGGGTAAGGCAACTGTCAAAATGGCGCTGTCGTAGCGCCATTTCAATAGTCAAAAAATGACGTAAAGTAAGAAAAAGAGCGTGTCGACTCTTAGTCGATAAAACACTATCTTCAACGACATCTAGTAGTTTTAAGAAGTATTAAGTAGAGTAGTAAAGCTTAAGAATCTGCTTCATTTGATGCTTATGGCTTTAATAATACATGCTATAATTGTTCGACTATTTCCTTTTTTGTTTTTAACTGGGCTATACGAAGGCAGAAGTTACGACAGCGCCATCTAGTTTTGACCATTCCTATTGTTCTCTAACTGAACGAAGTCAATTGTGTGACTTTATATGTTAATTTTTAAGTAGCTTTTAACCGTTTGTATTTAAAAAATGTTTTGTACATACTCGCATCGAATTTCGAATGATGAGTTTTTGAATATTTTTTTACCAATTTGGTATGTTCTATTTTTGTAAATATAGTGTTTTAGACTTTATGCTGAGCAAAGTTCTGTTGACAAATAAATGTTTAGTTTAATTTTATTTAATTTCTTTATGACTTACATTGCTGTATGGAAAAATACTTTGCGGCTAGTGCATCATGTAGCTACTAGTACTATGCAGCTTATGATTATCAATCTTACGCCATTCAAATAAAGTTGAAAATAGACAAGGGTGCAGCATAAAGTGCAGCTACAACTGAATTAAATATAAATTATTCAAATTAGTGTAAATATATATGATTTCGATACTTACTTGAATAGTGAATTCATTTTACTACCACCTATTCCTGTTAGTTTTGAAGAAGAATGTGAAAAAACGTAACAGTAATTTTTAACTTTATCTGAATTGAGCAAGGTTGATATTGGCTTATATTTAAAGTCGCTTGAGTTAAATTATTAACTATGTGATCTGGGTGTATTTCTGTTACTAAAAGAAAATGGTATATGTAAATGGTGTCAATCCTGTTGTACCACTCTAAACTAAACTAAAAAAAAAATATTTCGGGTTTCGTTTCAAAGTTATTAATAAAAGTTTTCTTCTGTTATCTTAGTTTTATAAGTACGCAATTTAAAAATAGAATTAAGTCTAGTTTGTGCTAATAAAATTGCCATAATTATCTGGATTTAGTAAGTGAAAGTATTTGTAAGATGTAATTAATGGTATACTTGAAAAAAGATGATCGTCTCAGGTACTGGTCTGGACTATCCTTTGTAGTGACTTTTCGGTAAACGAGCGAGAACTTTTTTTATTGATTTATCACAGACTAGACGAAAGTTTTGTAATATGCTAGTGCAGTGGTTTCTAACATTTTTATGATAACCCCTATTGATACAGTAGGAAAGGTGATTTTTCCACCATCCAATTTCGAATTGAAATGCTTTTTTCTTTTAATAAACTTGGTCTTAATTATGAAGGTTATTTACTATATTATGTAGATTATTTATTTGCAATAATTAAACGAGATGGATTTCCAATCACATAAATATTTAATTTGTAATATCGTATATGTTCTATGTTAACTACATAGAATAGCAGATGTAATAAAGCCCCTTAGGTTACAATTGAGTATTTTCATATATAGTACCTAAGACACTTGTTTTTATTTCAAGTATTTTTTTTTTATTTCAAAAAGTGGATCGCTAGATTGGAGTGTACGGGATGGGGCTCTGAGGAAAATACAAAATTGCTAACCTTACCTAACCTTAACACAATTAGCAATATTGGAAAAGAAACCTAATCAAAGGTGCCAAGTTGCGTACACTCCAAAGGGCATTGTGAATTCACTAAAGGTCGGTGCATATCTGACAGAAGATGCGTCGCGTATCTTCGGTCGCCGAACGTCTGAGCTGACGTACTTATGTTTTCACACTCGACGGAAGATCCGTGACATAGTAATGACATACAAATAATATGTGACTCAAATAAGAATAGAATCGGCTTAGCTACCAACTTACGCCTTAGCTGTCATTTTAGTGCCGACAGCAAAGAAAATAAAGCTCGCAAAATAATATTTTCGTTCAACTTTATACAGATAATTAATTATATTATTTGATTTTCCTTATCAAGAATTAGCAAAATAAAATTTCTAAATGATTATTTAAAAAGTTAGTTCTCGAAAGCAGACTAGATGTCACTAGCGATTTTCGGATTATAACTGAAATATTCATTCAAATTTTGTTTATGACGTAACAAAAGTAAATTGAGTTTCGAAAATATGATTAACGTTCAAATTAATCTCGTTTTATTTGCACTGCAAGTTAAGGAACGATGTTTGGTGTATATATGTAACATTAGTGGTGATCCAACTAATTGGATGCTCGTAACTTAAAAATAAAAAAAAAATAACTTAAAATTCAGCGTGTTATTTATGTGCTTTGTTTCCATGTTCTATTATGCATTCAAACGTCGAACGATATCGATATAAATAATTAACATATTACAATAAAACTGATTTCTAGAGTAGGTTGAGTAGGAAGCCTACCTATTTATTTTCAATATTATTAGAAAAACGAAAAAAGGCACCCACCCTCCTTACGAATTAACACAACACCAGGCTCAAAACTCTACCCTGTGCGACGTCCCGTCGTCGCCACGCGAGTTAATAACTTTTAAGATATTGTAATAACCATTATGCGTCTTTGTGATTTTGAAATTTAAAGTGTTATGCTGTGCGTTTCGTACAGGCGTTTTCTGTTGATTGTTGAGTTTTTATTAATGATCTTAGTTTATTTTTTGTATAAAATATATTCTTATGTTCAAATAGACAATTTATTTGCACGTTGTACTTTGCTCAAATGTCATTCTAGCCGGATAGGGTTAATTTGTACGAGTGCTAAATATATTTGATATAGGTATATCGGATATATACATATAAAAAAATCATTTTTTATTTATATCGCTTTTTTCTGACCTTTGTTACTGATTCATTAATCCCTAAGGGACATGCTATGACATGTTTAATTATAAAATCCATGTCATGGTTATATTATTATATATCGTATCGAATTGCTACTTTTTATAATTACATAGCAATATATAGATTACCATAGCTTTTAAAAACCCTTATCTATGCTCACTTACATTTAAATTAGTTTTCATTTTCCTTTATACAAATAAAAAAGTCATCTATTCAAAGCTCCGTTCATCATACTTAATTGAGTTGCGTTTACTCGAAATAATTGAATTTCAACTCTATATTTATCCGAGTTATCTAACCCATAGCAACACTGATAAGTCTATGCTCTTGGTCGAACTTGAGAATATTTAGATCTATCAATTTGTGATATAGTATTTTGAAGTTTTTTATATATGATTTTTGAATACTTCCTCATCATTGGTCTCTTGGTCTTTTTATTATTACTAAATAGGTATGAAGTTTACGTTTTTCTCGCGACGTTGACATCGTATCGCGTCTCGCCAATTTATAACTTCGGGTTCAATAACAATTCTATTGTACCGAAGTCCGTGTCATATACGATAACGCGTTGATTTGTAAAAATTAAAAAAAAAAAGATTTCCTTTTTATGCATACCTTACACCCTGAAGTTAAAGTGCAATACGAACTAAAATGGTTGACAGTACTATTCTTATTTGGCTCGATAGTACGACGGACTTGAGTGATGTTTAATCAGATTTACACCGAAATTAACAGTAATGTTATTCTTGTCAATTGCCACATAATAGCTTTCATTGTAATATAAACTGAATTATAGTACTGTAAGCTGTAATCATAAGAGCTATTATATAGTTTATACGCGTAGTGTATTTAATTAAAATAAGAGACACATATATCTTTCATATTAAAAGCACAATTCTTAATCAGACTACTATATTAAATGTTAAATGTAGGAAAAGTAGGACCAATAAAATATTCAATAGGTGTATTGCGAAGAACGCAAAGACTCAACGCAAAGAGTTCCGTGTTCCTTAGTTTATGAATATTATATTTTTTCTTAGTAAATTTAACGAAATTATAATCAATATTTTTAGTCCACTTAAACTACGTTCTGTAGTTAAATATTATAGGTTTTTTTAATGATAACAAAATCAACGAATGTAAGATTTCTTTTTGTTCATGTTCATCCTTTATGTAGAGTGTGTTTTGGAAT